AAGTTTAAATTCACTTCACTGAAATAGGGAACGCAGGCTGACTGCATAAGATCATATAAAATGCAGTCACCTTGGAAACATGCTAGTTAATTAAAAAATGCTTATTTTGTCCCAAACCACTTTTTATATGTTTTAAATTTTGAAATTCAAGTGTATCTGCCATAACATAAATAAACACTAGACTGTATCAAAAAAAAAAAAGCTTATTTTATGATCCTCTCGTGTAATGAAGAAAACAGATGACTGTGTGGTATCCGGTCTGTAACAAGAGGACATGAAGAGACCACAGGAGGACCCTTTGGGAGGAAGGTCCTCTGGACTGGAGCTGGAGCATGTTAGTGTCACATCAGGGGGGATGACACGGAGCCAGCTGGCTGAGCTTCCAGGGTGTCCAAGAGCAGACGTCCATCGAGAAGCAAGGTTAACGTTTAGTCGACTGCAGTTTGTTACCGCACGAGATGACTGAAGTCAAGGGGAATGGAGGAGTTAGTGGACTGGCTCTGTCTACTACCGGGAAATATTTGTGTTTTCATTGTGGAATGGAAAAGGGGCAGTTCCAGTGGGTGAAGACCCGTGGTGGAGTCCTATTAAATTCTGCCTGCAGCACGTATAACCTGTGCCCTGCAACACGCCTCTGGTACTTTAACCACAGCATTTTGCTCTGCCTCTCTTCCATGCAGTGTGCCATCCTCTTGTCCCCACAGCTCACTGAGGGTCACGGGGGATCTAGGAGCTCAGCGGTGCCATGTTTTCACTGTCAGGGATCGCCTCATCTCCTCAACACAGGAAAAAAGAAAAGTAAAGGGATCAAATAGATCCTTAATCCATACCCAATACCCCTTCTGTGCGTTGTTAGTTAGATTAGCTGTCTTTCTACATATTGGGGTGATTTCTGTTCCTCGTGTTATGGGAAGTCTGGATAATTACAATTTTTTTGTGTGCTTGACAGAATCATTTCTGGGCATATGGGAAGAGGAAACAAAACATAAACCATGTCACTTTTTAGATACGTCACAGCTGCCTCGACTTTACAAATTCTAGTCAACTGATGCCCCGAAGACAAAAACAGAATCTCTAATTCCAGCAAAGCTTACTTTTATGTTATGGTTCTTTAAAACTTACATATGAGCATATCTGATCTTATGTAGACAGCATATGCATATTGTTGAATGCCTAGTCCTGGTAATCTCCATAATAGAGACCATACCTTTGGGGATGAGTGGCCAGTGTTTACCATCAGTGTGAGGTCACATTGAAAGACCAGATATCTTTTAAAAAAAAAAGTGAATAGAGATATCTGATATCGTTTCATACACCAAAATTATACTTTATTGTATATTTTTGTCCTTTTGTAATCTTATAGTTAAGCAGTAAATGTATTTGTTTACTTTTTATTAAAATAAATTCTAAGACTGGAAAAAAAGAAAGATCAGACATCTTTGGATGCTGAAATGTCATCATCCTTCTATGAGAAAAGGCTACTCGAGTCCTCAAATCTCATAGTGTGGAGCGTTCCAGAGCCTCTAATCTTCTCTGACTCCTAGGTACACGTCTCTGGGTGTTAGGGATCTGCTATTCCCACTTTGCCAGCTCTAGGCGGTCCCTACTCCTTGTGTTAATCTGAGTGTGTCTTCATGAATCAAGAAACTCCCCCAAATAAAGAGGTCCCTATCAAAGGGGGTGAAGGTAGACATTGTGAGGTCTCTGGAGTATTTTATGTCTTACTCCACATAAAGCCGTCAGCAGCTCTTCCTGCTCATTTACATTTGCACAGCAGGACCATACTGCACCTTTCTCTTCTGAAAACTAGTAAATAAACCCAACTGCGGGCAGAACTATCATGAAATTTCAATGAGAACCATGTATGTTGAAATTTTTCTTAAGCTATATAGATATGGAATACAAGACACAATTTTTCAGCCTGGAAAGATGCCTCAGCATCTAAGAGCACTTGATGATCTTCCAGAGGATGAGCGTTCAGTCCCCAGATGGCTCACAGCCACCTGTAACTTCAGCTCTGAGGAATCTGATGTTCTCTTCTGGCCTTTTGTACACCAACATAGATGCAGCATAGAGAGAGGGAGAGAGAGAGAGAGAGAGAGAGAAGAAAGAAAGAAAGGAAGAAAGAAAGAAAGAACAAAACAATTTTTAGAAATACTATACTATATCTGAAGAATAGTAGAGGAATATAAGAAAACCCAAATAATGTTAAATGAATATTTTTCACTATGCTATGTTATCGAAATCTGATTTACCATGTAATGCAAACACTCCTAGGCCAGCATGGTGTCAAAGGTGTTGTGGGGGAGGGGTCCCTTTCCCTGCCGATGACATTTACTCATGAGTTTTAACGCCGCAACAAAGTGCTGTGTTTGGAAAGTTTCATCAAAGCACAGTATCTGCTGCCTTGTCATCTTGCACATTACTCATCCAAACATAAAGACAGACAGAAAAGAGATCATACAGAGTTTGTATATGTATTCGTCTCACCCAGATAGCCACTTTCCTAAGTAAAGGTCTTTTTGGTTGCTGAAATTTGTATAAACTGTGATTGACTTAGTATGTGTTTTTAACACTCTCTCTTGTATGCCATGCTTACATTTTCTGTCTTTCTGCTGTTCTTTTACACCCTGTGATGGTTAATATTTTATTGGCATGTATTCATTATACACATTACTAGGTTATATAAGGAAGTGTTCATACATGTGTATAAAGTTCTTTGGCCGTGTTTTCCCCGTGTCTCTCACCTCCCCTTTCGTTAGTCTCTGTGTTGTTCTACAGACGTGTTTCCATCTCTCTCTCTCTCTCTCTCTCTCTCTCTCTCTCTCTCTCTCTCTTTCTCTCTCTCAAAACACACACACACACACAATTACATGTGTGACTCTGGTATAATTTTCATAAATGAGAGGAAACATGTAAAATTTCTCTTCCTGAGTTGGACTTCATTTCATTAACACAGTCATCTCTGGTTGTATCCATTTCCCTGGAAAGGACATAACTTCCAATTCCTTTGTTCATAAACAAAATTCTATTGCGCCTCCACCGCAGTTTCTCTCTCCACTCTTGCTGGTGGACACCTACGTGGATTCAAAAATTCCGCTACTGTGAACAATGCTGCAGTAAGCATGGGCATGCAGGTGTCTCTGCTGTACAGTGTATGCTGTGTAAACCGCAGCCACACAATTGTATTTTTGTAAACATTATGCAACGATGTCTAAGTGCATGTCACCAGAGGGATTTCAACATGTATTAATAGATTCATGAGACGTTTGATTCAGTCAAATGCATAAATCTTGAATATATATTTGCAGAATTTTGACAAATGATTGCAATTGGGGAAATGTTAATTATGTGTGATGAGATACTCAGATTCATTCCTTACCAATGAATTACATTTAGTCACAAATAAAAATACAATACATAAGGGATACCAGCAGGGGGCGCTCAATCAACACGTAAGGGAAATACTGCTACAATTCAATGCTTAAAGAGTCATCAAGTGTTAATAGACTTTCATCTCTTTCCTCATTCTGATTTTAAAAAGTAATGACTTTTATTATAGCTAGATCTACATATGGAAAGATACAGTTATTAATCTGATTTATTTATCAGTATGCTTAGTCTGCACAAGTATTAAAAACCAACTTAATGAGGCATGATTCAGGGATCTAAGAATAGTCAATAGTTTTGTGTGTATATGTGTGTGTTCAAGCGGGGGGGCATGAGTGACATATAAGTGCTCCCATGCATGCATGTGCGAAGACCAGAACCTGACTTCCAGTGTCTGTCTCTATTGTTCTCCACCATATTTCTTAAGATAAGCGCTCTCAGAATCACTGTGATTGGGTGAGCTGGCTGGCCTGGGAGGCCCAGGATCCACCTGGATTCTCTCCCCAGTGCTGTGAGCTAGTGGGCCAGGGAGGCCCAGGATCCACCTGTCTCCTTTCCCCGGTACTGTGGTTACAGCCATACACAACTAGGCCCAGATTTTACATGGATGCTGAGATTCCAACTCAAGTCCTGATGTTTGCTCAGTAATGCCTTATCTTCTGAGTCGTCTCCCTAACCCACAGACGTTTAGACTAAACTTGATCATATAAGTCATAATTGCAATATTAGCCCTGTAGAGACAATATATAAGTTATTCCAAAATATTATCAACTATCAAATAACCCAATTATGGCACTAAACAACGTGGTTAACTCCTTGGTTGCTTCTACTGTTGAAGGGTTGGACTACATTCCTGAGGGCTCTCTGGGGGTGGTGGAAACTTCAGGAGGTAAGGACAAGGTAGTAAACTAAGTCACCAATGCCATGTCTTTGAAGGGGATATTGACCGTTCTCTCTGTCTGTCAACTTCCCAGCCTCCAGTCATTCTCTCTAATCACAGGACCAACGTGGCAGGATGAGGTGACCATGGACTGAATTTCTGAAAACATAACCCAAAATAATCTTTTCTTCCCTCTAAACTGGTCACCCAGTTAATCTGCCACGGTAATAGAAACTGACTACCCAGTATTATAATGAAAATTTGAAGTTATAATTAATTTTGAAAGTGTACCTAATTAAAGTAATTCTATAAAAATATTTAACGCTATTTCTCATTAACAAATAGCTCCCCAGAAGTTTCTCACACAACTTGAAGGTCACTGTTGCTGATTCTGTCTGTTGCAGGCAGAGATTGGCAGTCTGTTATTTTTCATGAGCTTGAGCTAAGAAATATGAAAATGGATAAAACTTAAGACTACTGTGACTGCCGCATACTATCAACTCCTAGAGGAGAGCAAGGTCATTTTGCTTCTTGAGAACATGTTTTTCTTGACTTTGGGTCTAATGGAAGCGGTCTGTTATGAGCGAGGCAATATGTTGAAGTGACGCCGGAGCTTGGGAAATTGGTCCTCAGTAAATAAAAAACATCGTTAGGCCTGTTGTTTCTTTGGTTAGGTTTCTTCTAAGACATTCCTGAGGCTGCCTTAGACGGGATTGTTTCCCTCATCTCCTGGTGGGTGTGCCTTCCCAGCTGTAGCCGTTGTCCTCTGTATGTTCCTGCGTGCATCACGTCGGCGTGTGTGCGTCACGTGGGCGTGTGTGCGTCGTCTTGGTGACAGAGACTTCTAAGAAGGGCAAGCACATCTTGGTCCTGTGACCTAGTCATTGCGCTCCACCCATCTCGGGACAGTCTCCCACCACACTCTCCCGCCACTTCTTTCATTCATAGCTACTTTCTTTTCTAGCTCCACTTCCAGAATCCTCAGGCATCAATGAACTCACCCCCGCACAGTGAAGTTTAACCTCTCGTTGCTCTGCAGTCAGTGTTGCGAATTAGGTAGGTACGATAAATAACCAGGCCTGCTCAAGAGTTACAATTATACTTTAATGGTTATGAGGGGAAACTCACGCCACAAGAATGGGAGGTCCAACTTCCTCTCCGTCGGGCGTGATCCATGCAGAGAGAGTGCGCACCTGGATTCTTCCAGTATTTCTTTCTGGGCCCCAGGTAGCCATACCCTATTTAGATGTGATTGGTTGATAAAGTTTCCCCATCAAGCCAGTGTTTCTGGTTTCTTCTTTTTTTTATTTTTTTATTTTTTGATTTCTTCTTTTCAGGCACCTAGTACACCACAAAACCTCTGTGAGTGGTTAATGCAAGCACAATAAATTTTGCCTTTTGAGACATATGTGCCTCTGAACTACTGAACAGCAGGATTTTGCAACTTGGTCTCAGGGTTTGGGGATGCCAGCCAGCATATGACCAACGTGACTGCAGGGACAAAAGTGGACTGAATGACCACGGACTGATGTACCAAGAGGTGGTAATGGATGATGGGGCATCCAGAGGCTGCTGGATAGGGTACATGGAATACACAGGTTTGTGTATCTGCTGAAGGTGGTCATCCAGGAGACAGACAGCCATGGCAATGCCTTCTAAAGGAAGCAAACAGCCTGACATAAAACCTGTCTTCCTAGCCTGCTTAACCGTGCAGGCTCCAGCTTTAGAACCTAGGTCAGATAAGAAACTTCTTAGTGAGTCTTGCATTCTAATGTAACATCATATTGTATTTTTCCTCAATGAAACAGTTTTTGGATGTTTTCAAAGGTCTTGCAAACTCTGTGTTCATCTTCTAGTGAAAGTTCCTTCAAGCAGCTCTCCCTGGAAACTCTCTTTCCTGAATTATTTAGTGAGAGGAAGCACATAAAACTTACAGCGTGCGATTTATGGCGCTCCCCGGTTCTAAACCCGCACTCCCGATGGAGAATAGTCCGCCTCTTTAGTAGTATGCTCACTTTTTTCTCCCTGATGCCATGTAGGAAAAATTGCTATGTTGCTATCATTTGGTACATGTTATGAAGACTCTGCAGAATTATTGGGCTCTGGAGTTTTTCTTTTTGAAGATATAATAGTTTTAAATACTACAAATGCTTATCACCTTCACCAAGACTCTTCAGTGCCAGTAAGAGCCAACAGACACACATAACAGTGCTCACCTTGTCCTGTCCTCTACACCACAGCTAAATTCCCTGGACCCAGCTTCTACAGGGCCAGAATGAAAACATGTCAGTGATCTTACCCAGCATTCAATTCTTCATGCCATAATATGGACCTCCCAGGCAGATTATATACACTGGTGCCATAGTGTATGACTCTCATGGGGCAACAAACAGCTTTCTGATTGGTGTTTGAGGCTTGCTGTGTTGGAGGGAATTTCATGCCTGGCACTGCACTCCTGGTCAGAAGTTCGTGGCTGTAAGGCTCCTAGGTCCTAGGTTAGTACTTGCTAGTTTTATTGTGCTCAAGGGTTATGCTCTCCAGCTGTCTTTTAAATCGTATGTTTACACCCATAGACCTAGGCTGCTCTCAGCCTTGATGGGAGAACTGTCTTTGTTCAGTAGGCAGCAATGGAGAGAGGTAGACGCTGAGCCATGTGACACAAGATGCTGAGTCATGTGACTTGCTCCTTCAGGAAGCATTGTGAGCACAAACCTGAAGAAAATCTTCCATGCCAGGTGCTGCCTCCTGCCTCTGTAGCCAGGTGGATGCCACTGCACCCCCTCACCACTAACACCCCACCCCACCCCACCCCTGGCCACATGCTTGGAAACTGTTTGTTTAAAGTTGCAGAGCAGTTGAAACAGACTTGCACTGTTAGGGCAGAAAATTTGCCTGTTACAGCCTTGGCATCTTAGGTCCCTCATAGTAACAACTGAGAACACAACACAGTAGACAATAAAGCGCACCTTGAAGACAAGGCACTGGGGATTTGTTTGGAATTGCCTGGAACGGAAGGTGGCCTTTCCAGCACTTGGAAGTACGAGCAGGGGTTTGACACCTAGTTAACAAAGCAAGACCATTGCGTCTGACAGTGCCCCTTGCAGACTCCCAAGAGGCATTAAAACTTTCCAACTGAGTGGCTTCCAAAGCAGTTTCTCATTGATACCAAAATAAATTCCCGAGTACCAACTGTGAAATGCCAGGCCTTGCTTGGGTCTCTGGCTCCTGATGCCCCTTCCCACCGGACACTGATGCTGTCTGGGGGGAGATCTGGTCTGTTCCTGCTCCAAGACCTTCTCGGATTGCTCTTTCCACCTTCCTCTGTGCATAGCCAACTCCTCCTAACTCTGGAATGTCAGGTTTTCTGACAAAAAATAAATGTTATGGCCATTGATCAGGTGATACACTGGACTCTTGAACACTGTAAGGAGCAGACATTGAAAGCGCAATGGTGACCGTGTAAGGTAACACTTTGCTCATTCACTAGATTCAATTGCTCAGATGTCAGGCTGTTCACAACAAAAGCACATAAGGTTATCAGTCATAACAGGATATATAAAGTACTGGGAAATATTAAGAATGAATAAACTTGACTACACCGGATTTTTTTTTGGAAAAATCAAGAATAAAAGGCTTATGTTGCTCTCACCTCATGAATGTCCATTTGCAGTCTTCCTCCCCTATCTTATTGTAATTTTCTATTTGTAGAGTCAGCATCTAGATTTGGCTTAGGTGAAAAAAATCGTTTATGAAACAAATAAATGATCTCACACCTTTTTAAAAAAATTTCCAACATTGACTGTATATAACATCTTCAAATAGACCACCTTTTCTAAAGCCTGAAAGCCACACTTCTGAAAAACTAGTCTCAGTGGTTAAAACATACACACGTAAGTGTAAGCTTGTTCTTTTACTCCCGGCTTCACTTGCCACCCTTTCCAGATTTGCTTGGGTAAATTAATTAAACCCACTCCCTGCTGCGCTGTGTCCTTCCCTCATTGCACTGCTTCTGTCCCCTCTCTTCTCACGCTGACAGACCAAAGACCTAAAATAGATACTAATTATTTTCCACCTTTACCCCTCGCTGTTCAAAGCCTTGCATGGCTGTTTTGACTGTGAGATCTCATTAACACTGAGCTCATTACAACCACAGAGGATGGATGAGTTCACAGGAACCAAACATTGGTTAAGTTAAAGGTGGGTGGATCCAGCTGGACCTCACGGTGGCTCCTAGGGACTGTGCTAAGGACATGGAAATTCTGGAAAGGAAAATTACAGGATCTCAAGAAAGAGCTAACTATTCCGCCTTTTTTTTTCTTAGTATGGCTTAAGGTAGGTCTGCCTTCACAGGAGTAGTCCCTTGACCAGATGATTGACTTAGATCCACTGGAGTGTTTGATCTCCACCCAGGCCAGAGGCTCTAGTCTCTTGACCACAAGTAGGATTTCCTCAATGGGTCTTGGTTGCAACTGTAACGACTGCTGCCCAAGACAATGACTCAGTGCCTCATTTGCTAGGCATTACAAGACTCTTTTTGAAATCGCCTCTGCCTTGTGTGGTCTGGGGCAGACTGAGCCCATGCATTCTTCCTGTACCATCCTTCTTGTAGGACATTTTGAAGGGGGGGTGGGTATTGTTCTTTTTAAAAATAATACCATGGTGGGATGTCCCGGGCAGCTCGCGGAGCAGCTGCAAGTGGCAGCGCCATGCGGAGGGGGAAGTCAGGGTCCCTGGGCGAGCGGCAGAGTCAGGCGGCTGGATGCGGTGGACGGCAGAGTAAATGGACATAAGGCTATACATAAAGCTAGACATTTATTACTTAAAGAAAGAAAAACATAGACAAACATAGAGAAAAAAAGACACACACATACACACACACACACACACACACACACGCACGCATACACACACACACAAGAGAGAAGATGGCTGGGGGGAGGTCCAAAGTGGCTGGGGTGGGCGTGGTTAGTTCTTAAAGTGACAGCAGAAGACTAACAAGTGGGAGGGGCTCATTAGCTTCCCAGCAGAGTGGAAGCAGCATTGCTAGTGTCTGGAAGTCTAAAGCCTATGAAGCATTTCTTTGTTTGCTTGTTTTTCAAGACAGGGTTTCTCTGTGTAGCCCTGGCTAGTCCTGAACTAGCTCTGTAGACCAGGCTGGCCTTGAACTCACAGAGATCTAGCTGCCTCTGCCTTCTAAGTGCTGGGATTAAAGACCTGTTCCACCACCACCAGGCAGAAGCGTTTCTTTTGTAAAAGCATTAATTCAGGTGCCTCTTAGCTCTCTGGCATGTTTCAGAACCAAACCCCACACCCCATCTCCTCCAAAACCATCACTGTCCTGCCCACAACACTGTGTCCTCTCATTCCAGCTCCACCATGGGGAGCCCCACCTGACCCATGCATTCTCTGCCTAGTGGTGAAAGACTGAGTCTGTGGTTTAATTCCTTTTAGGGACCCTTCTCCACCTTTCCTTCAAGGTCCTGCTAGGGCATCCTAAGTATCGCACACTTTCTTCTCTCTGCCTGGGCTTCTTTCTCTGCTCCTGAGGCACATCCTCCCACACCCTGCCCACAACTTCCCTGGTTCCCACGGACCTCTGGTATGATGCCTGTCTTTGTTCTGCACACCCCACACATGACCAACTTCCCACTGGGGAAATAGAGATCGACTACTTCAGTAAGATTGAATTTCATCCCAACGAGCTCTGTGCTCAGGTCCTGAAGAGTGGAAAGAAGCTACGCCCAAAATGAAAAACACTTATGCCTCGGAGAGAAAATATTCTGAGCTGTGCTGTGTCTGTTTCACAAGGAAAGATGAGCGTGTTTCCATGAGAAACTTCTGGAAGGCCGATTTAAACACAAAGAACTTTATGGGAGGCTAGCGGCCTCATCTTAACCAATTATATCTGCAATGGTCCTATTTCCAAATAAGGGCACATGCTGAAACACTGGGTTCGTATTTAAGAAAGATTCAATTAACCTGTAACATTTCGTCCCACGACGCTGACACATGGAGAAAGCTCTCCAGGGGTTTCCCACGGACTGCGTGGTCACAGCTGCTAACAGACCTCAAGATGGCACTGTGGAGCAGCTGAAGACGGTCCCAAACCAGACACAATGAAGATCCTCACAGGTTGTACATCAAATTGCATAAAAATTTAAATCATAATTCAACTTGAATTAGGTGTGCTTACAATACCAAAGTTTTAAACTTTACTTATTTAAGGCTTCTGGCTCATTGCAAGTTCCCAAAGTTAAGAGGACATGGTTCACATACCCACAGATATGCAGGGGAACTTACTTTCCGTGCTTTTGCAAAGACCCTCCCTGCTGCCCCCAGCGTCACAATTACTGCAAGTGATTAATTCCTATTATTTTTCAGTGGTAAATAGGGGCCCCTCATTAGCGGAAAACAGCCATTTGCCAATGGTGGTGACACATCTTTTAATACCAGTACTCCAGAGACAAAGGCAGGTAAATGTCTGTTCAAGGTCAACCTAGAGCACAGAGCAAGTCCCTGGACAGCAAGGGCTACACAGGGAAGCCCTAAGTCAAAAAATAAATAAATAAATAAAAATTAAAAAAAAGAAAGAAAGAAAAGAAAAAAGAGAAAGCAAAATAGCAATCTAATCATAACTTTCCCCAACTCCAGGTACCTTTTAGCTCTCTAACTTTCTCATAATATATGAGTTGACAACTATCTTAAACACTTATTCATGTTTCATATGCGGTTCAAGGGGGTCATTACGGGGGTCATTCCATCGTGGTGTGAAGACATGGTAGCAGGTGGAGAAAGCATGGTGGCAAGAGCAGGAGACTGGCTGGTCACCTCACATTCACACTCCATAAGCAGAGTGTAAACAGAAAGGGACCAGACCATAAACGTACACTCACGGTGACCCTCAGTCACCCCCTTTCACCAGTAAGGCTCCCTTTCTTAAAGGTCTCTCAGCCTTTCCATTATAGTTCAGCCAGCTGGGACCTTGACTCAAAGAACTAAGCCTAGGGGGACAATTCAGCCCTAAGGCACAACGAAGTACTGGAACTTGGACAGTGAGAGTGAGGCCAGCCGAAGGCAATGGAGAGAAAACAAAAGTGGCCTTTGCTGCTTCCGTCCCTGCCCCAGCACGCTCCTCCAGCAGGCTCTCCTCTCCCCGCTTTCCTGCTTCCGTCCCTGCCCCAGCACGCTCCTCCAGCAGGCTCTCCTCTCCCCGCTTTCTCCTTCTTCCTTTCTCTTCCCTCCCTCTTCTCTCACATTCCATTGTGCTCTTTCAAACAACAAAAGAAACTCCCTAAAGTTGAGTGATAAATAGCATGTTGTAGGGAAATAATATGTGTGCAGATGGTCAGTAAAAGGGGAACAGGCACAGATAGGTTGAAAATATGCTTGATATGCAGAACAAGTTGCAATTAGTTCAATCTACTTTTTTAAAAAATGTAGGTGTCAGATCATTAGAAAATACAAAGTTTATTTATGCTATTTATTATCAAAACAAAATATTGCTGGTGTCTTGCTGACTGCAAGTTACTATGTTGAGAAAAAATAAATACAGCACTGGCATGTGGCTGGTGTCTGCCATCTTCTCTCGGTATCAAATCATGAGACAGAGACTTATTAGCTATGACTGCTCCGCATCAGCACAGGCTCCCTTATTGCTGGCTCTTAGAACTTAACCTGCTTCTCCTTGTCTGTCTTATGCCATGGGGCTCCGCACCTTTCTTTCTTCCTGGATATCTTGCTTGGCTGCTGTCTCCACGGCTGTCTGCAGGCTGCCTGGCTTCTGCCCAGTGTGTCCTTCTCTCCCTCATGTTCCCCTTTTCTTCCATCCTAGAGTACTTTTCCTACTTATCCTGTCTGCTTGTGAGCCACACCTATCCCTCTCCTGCCTAGCTATTGGCCATTTAGCTTTTTATTAGACCAATCAGGTGCCTTAGGCAGAGCAGTGAAACAAATGTAACACATCTTCACATCACTAACAAAGGCAGCGGAAACAAAGGTAACACATCTTTACACATGTAAAGTAGCATTCCAAGGCATCTCCAACTGTAACACATCTGTGACTGGTTAAAATAATATTCTACAACACTGTAGTTTTCAGGGCTTGTTCATTTTCACATCTATTTTTTTTTTACTTTCAAAATAATGGGGTTTAAAATTAAAGAGATAAATGAGAAGTGCCAGTTGAGGTTCTGAGCCTCTGCTACACTATTTGGTCCTGAGAGTATGTTTCTGCTATAGTACTCACTCCTGAGATTATAAATCTCTGTGATAGTATCTACTCCTGAGAGGAAATCTTCTACATTAGTGTTGAGTGTGAGTCTCTGTTATACTATGTACTCCTGAGAGTGTGTCTCTCTATACTTTCACACTTAAGCTGTTCCCTTAAGAAGCTTCTACCCAGACTGCAGCTCTGAAAAACTATTCTCTTGTAGAACAAATGTATATCTATTAAGACCCTTTCCATTCATAAGGAAAAATCCTTCTGTGTTCTGAGGAAGTTGATACCTACCAGAAACTCCAAGCAGGAATAAAGCACTGACTCACATACACAGAGCAAACCCAACCCTTTTTCTATGTGCACTTCTGACCACATCTTAGACACTTTTTAAAACACAGAATCTTTCCACACAGCACTTCTTTGTTATTAATTATGATGGAAATAAAAGTCGCAAGCATAGGTTCTTTCTTTGCCACGTAATCTAGAGGCGTATTCATTTCTGTGCTTTCTCTATTGTGCACATATTAACAAAGCTCATTGACAGAAGGTATGTGCTGTGTTGTAACTGTCTACCCACCAAGTTCTTTGACTGTTAAGCTCCTTTCCTATCTTTCTTAATGATGGAAAACCAGGAACCAAAGCTACCGTGATCACTATGGATGTAGGAGGGAGGGAAAGGAAGGTGGGGAAAGCACTGGTCATCGTTCCTCTGCTGTACAATGGCAAAGCCATATGGAAGATACAAGGTGAGCCTGGCCCCATCTCATGCCTGCAAAGCCATCCCTGTCTCTTCCCTGAGGTTACACTGATGCAGGGCCCCTCAGTCCTCAGCACCTCAGCCCTTCTGGGAGTCCTTGTGAGGCCTTCCCAGTAGGATGCTGACCCTCTGTATATGACAGCCAGAGTCATGTGCTATAATCACTGCCAAAACAAATTAAGTTTGGACATGTCCAAAAGCAACAACCTTTCAAATGGTATTTATTTTGGGAGAATTTAATACATGGATATTGCATGTTTTATTCAAGTCTCCACATTCCTTCACCTATTACTTCTAACCCTTAAAACCATTTTACTCTCCCCACTTGGTGGGCTTTTTCTTTGTTATCTCTTCACCCCACTGAGCGCTTCCTGCAAGTGTGGGGGTGTGGGACAGTTGACTGAAGCCTGGAAGCCCCCCAGATTGACTGTCTCCCTCAGAAGCCATCAATTGCCAATAGCTCCTCCACTCAGGGTGAGATAGAGTGAAATCCTTATGCAACCATGCTTATTGGATGGCTGGGTTTAACCCATGGAAGTGTTGTCCAGCTAGTAATAGCCACAGTGTTTTCAAGCAACATTTTTAGCAATGTTTCACTGTCCTAGAAATTTTTCAACATTTCTACTGTTTCAGAGCAGACATCTACTATACCTGGCCCTGACATTCTTTCTACCTCTTCTCCCTCAGGAATCCCTGACTTTTGATGTGTGTAAGGGACCTCTTCTACAGTGTGTGACGCAAGCATCACTTTTACATTAGAGCTCCCCACTGCTAGGCTAATAGTCTCTACACTTTGACCAATTTGCCTCTGTGTATTATTCTCCGTCTACCACACAATTAAGATTTGCTGGTGGGTGTAGAGAGGTGCCTTACACTGTGGGTATAAAGATGAGAACTTGGGTTCATTTAGTTACTGTCCACTCATTAGAGTAACGGCACTAAATTCTTCCTAGGGCTTATAACCTGGCCAGGCACAAGTTTATCACAAAATAACATCACATCATTTACCGTTTATGGAATGAGCTTTGTATCCAGTCAGAAAATGATTGGTTGTTCCACACCTTTCCTGCATTATCACTCTGTGGGCACTGCTGCTTTTATCTCAGGCACAGCAGCTGCACCTGACACTAAAGCTGCCTCAGCTGATGACTGCACCTCTGCAGCCACTGCTGCTGCCTTGCTGCCAGTGCCTAGACTGGAAGAGCCTTCGTGCTGTTTTAACTAAGTCTCTATCCTTTATTTACCAATAAGGATTCCAGAGTCAGACGCTGGGTGAACAACCTGCTAGCTCAGAGAGGCAGAGCTTCTTACACACCAAGGGGGATGTTACAGACGCTTGGATGACTCCACTGGGAAAAACAACAGTAACTATGGACAGCCCAAATCTCAGATTCCAGGTAACCAATGGACAAAGTTATGACATAGTAAAGGTTTCATGGAGCATTTATGGTTACAGAAGATAGAGATTCAATCATTAAGACAAGTTTCAAACACACAGTTTGAACAAACTGTTGGGGTTACAGCAAAGAGAAGTCTCCACTGTTCTCTGATGACACTCTTAGTATCTGAACTGTTCTACGTTAGATGTTCATGCCAACATCGCAAAATGATTAACTTGATATTCTCCACCATGGATTCATTAGAGTTGGATAAGATCTAAATTGTTAGAAAAGATTTATACCATTCTTCTCACACTCATGGACTTTGTAGTCAGAATGAATCATTTGATGTGATTTAAAGGTTGATGAAGTAAACTTCTAAGGCATTTGTAGGATTTCTCTTCTGTATGAACTATATCATATGTTGAGTAAGGCTATAAAGATTCGCAAAGTCTTTGCCACAATCCCCACACTTTTAGGGATTGTCTTCAGATTGAATTTTCTTTTCTTTTCCTTTTTAAAAAAAAATATTTATTTGTTTATTTATTTATTTATTATTTATACAATGTTCTGTCTGTCTGCATGCTTGCTGGCCAGAAGATGGCACCAGATCTCACTAGAAATGGCTGTGAGCCACCATGTGGTTGCTGGGAATTGAACTCAGGACCTCTGGAAGAACAGTCAGTGCCCTTAACCTCTGAGCCGTCTCTCCAGACCCCTTGAATTTTCTTTTTTCTTTTATGTTGTCTAAGAGATGAAGAACAGGAAAAACATCTGTCACATGCTTCACACTTGTAGGGTTTCTCTCCAGTATGAACTTTCTTGTGTTTTCTAAGGGATGACTGATAATGAAAGGCTTTGCCACATTCCTTGCACTTGTAGGGTTTCTCTCCAGTATGAGTTGTTTGATGTTCCAGAAGACTCCTGGAATAGGAAAACTGTTTGCCACACTCTGCACACTTATAGGGGCTGTCTTCAGAATGGATGGTTTGATGCTCTCTAAGGGATAAGGAGGAGTAAAAGCATCTGCCACAGTCCTCACACCTGTAGGGATTGTCTTCACAGTGAATTGTTTGATGTCGCTGAAGAGACAAAGATAAGTAAAAACATTTGCCACACTCTTCACACTTGTATGATTTCTCTCCAGTATGAATTATCTGATGTTCTTTAAGTCTTTTAAAACTGGAAAGACTTTTACCACACTCTGCACACTTGTAGGGATAGTCTTCAGAATGGATTGGTTGATGTCGTCTAAGCGATGAGGATGAGCAAAAACATTTGCCACACTCCTCACACTTGTATGGCTTCTTTCCAGTGTGGACTGTCTGATGTTTCTGAAGGTACGCAAAGGAGGAGAACCTTTTGTCACACTCTACACACTTGTAGGGATAGTCTTTGGAGTGAATTACTTGATGTTGTCTAAGGTATGAAACTGAGGAAAAACATTTGCCACATTCTTCACACTTGTATGGTTTCTCACCAAAATGATATCTTTGATGTTTATTTAGGTTTGAAAGATCATAAAAAGCTCTGCCGCATTCTTCGCACTTGTAGGGTTTCTCTCCAGAATGAATTCTTTGATGTTGCTTTAGCATTGAAAGATAGTAAAATGATCTACCACATTCTCCACACTTGTAGGTTTTTTCATCAGTATGATTTTTCTGGTGTATAAAAAGTGATTGGCGAGTATTGAAGGCCTTGTGACATTCTTTACACGTGTACGGTTTCTCTCCAGTGTGAAGTCTCTGGTGTATGGAAAGTGCTTTATAAGAACTAAGGCCCTTACCACATTTTTCACACTTGTAGGGTTTCTCCCTTGTATGAATTCTTTGGTGTGGAATGCATAGTGAGTTACAGTCAATGGCCTTGTTGTAAACATTATAATCACTGGATGTTGTTCCTGTTGAACAAAAGTTGAGATATGAATAAAGGCCAGGAAATATTCTTACAATGCTCACTTACAATGCTTATCTTTTAAAAAGAAAACATCTGCTCATGCACACTGAAGCATCAGTAAGAAAATACAGTACATTTCAAAACCTAAAGGCACTAAGAATAAATAATAAAATAAAGTAGGTACAAATAATTTATACTTCAACTAGAATAAGGGCATAATCAAATAGAACATAGACGTAATGGCATATAATTCAAAATTTCATAGCTAAGTAACGTGTAAGGGCATTTTACTAACAGAAATACCCATTAAACAATAGAGATAGTATATGTCTAGACACCCATGAAAGTATAAAGTAACCAAGCCTGGAAAGAGAAAGTTAATTGTGATTGTGTGAATCCGAGTTATTGTCTAAATGTGAAATCTTTATCCTCCACATAAGTGTATTGTCGAAGGTATGAAAGAGAAGCTGCACAACAAGTAGATGTTCCCCCAAAATATTAAATCTATAGCTCAAAAATTCAGGACAGTATTTTATGTTTTGTTTGGATGGCAAGAAAATATATATCTGAACCATATCACATCATGATAAGAAAAAACCTTCAGGTCCACCTGTGCATTACACAAATTTTGCTGAGACAGCACATTTGTCAGAGAACACATGACAAGACTACCACTTCCTTTTTATTCTTGCTGTTCAAGACAAGGTTTCTCTGTGCAGACCTTACTGTCCTGGAGCTCACTATTCAGACCAGGCTGGTCACAAACTTAGAAATCCAAGTGGCATTCTGAGATTCCTGGAGGCAGGATCTCCATTTTGGACTGAGGTAGAGCCTGCCTTCAGTTCTGCCTCAGTCCATCCATCCCCGATGCTGCTATCCTCCGCTAGCATCAGACATCAGTTCCTTAATCTTCCCAACACAGACTTCATACCAACAACTCTTCGGGGGGCTCCAGGTCTTCAGAGCTGGCTGAGGATGCTGAGTCAGCCCACTTTGTCAAACGAGCAGCTACTGGGTTCTTTCCTTCTCCAGAATGTAGCCATCAAAGAAAGCCACCACTCTCTAAGGTAATCTATAAACCTCCTTTATAATATGCACACACAGACACGTATATGGATGCCTATTAATAATATTTATGTATGTATATACATATAAATATATGTGAATAAGCATTGTATGTATAAATATTATATATATTTATATATATAAATAATTGGTTCTACCGGTTCTTTTTCTCTAGAGAAACCTGCCTAGTATATGTAACTATTTAAAGTGTTTATAAATTGCTCAATACAGATTCTTATACACACACACACACACACACACACACACACACGGGAAGATTTTCTGGTCTGGTGCGGGGAAATTGTTTATATTCTGTCAATCATGTTTTAAATAAACGCTAATTGGCCAGGCAGGAAGTATAGACAGGAAAACCAAACAGGAAGTAGAAATGATGCAAGGAGAACAGGAGAATTCTGGGAAGGAGGAAGATGATTCCTCCCACTCCTTCCCAGACCACTGAAGCAGCAGGATGTGATCTGCCCCACTGAAAAAGGTACTGAGCCACATGGCTAACATAGATCAGAATAATGGGTTAATATAAGCTACATGAACTAATAAGAAGGGCTGGAGAGATGGCTCAGTGGTTAAGAGCACTGACTGCTCTTCCAGAGGTCATAAGTTCAATTCCCAGCAACCACATGATGGCTCACAACCATCTGTAATGAGATCTGGTGCCCTCTTCTGGTGTGTGGGTATACATGGAGGCAGAATGTTGTATACATAATAAATAAATCTTTAAAAAAAAAAAAAGGAACTAATAAGAAGCTTGACCTAACAGGCCAATCAGCTTTATAACTTATAGAGATCTCTATGTGATTTTCTTTGGGGCTAAACAGCTGTGGGAACCGGGAGAGACAGAAAACACAAACAAGTCAACCCCCTATGTTACAAAATGGCACCCATGTGGATAACTGTATCCACAAAAAGCCTGAGAAAGCTTGGGAAAGACTAGAGTAAAGCATTTCGGTTTTCAGCTGTAACAGGAAAAAAGCTGCACTGTTTTAAAATGCCAGCTTTCTGGGCTGTCCTGCCAGGAAAAACTCTGACTCTTTCAAGCAGGCTGTCCCGACTTTGGACACACTGTTGCAGCTTGCTTCCTGGCAAGGACCTTGAAATGCCATAGAGTTGTGGCAAAAAACTTCTCTATATTCCTTAGCAAATTAAAGACCCATGTGGTCAGAAAAAGAGAGATATACAGTAAAGAGAGATTCAAAGAGGAAGAAAGCCTCTAAATGGTTTACAGTGTGTTAAAAATATATACAGGCTAAAGGTTAAAGTTCTCAAAGTTTAAAAAAAAGAGAGAGAAAGAGAGTAGCCAGTTGTGGTGGCACACGCAGGTAGCATTTCCCTGGGAGACAGAGACAGACGGATCTCTGTGAGTTCAAGGATAGCCTGGTTTACAGAGGGAGTACCAGGACAAAGACACACAGAGAACCTGTCTCAAAAAGCCAAAAGTTAAAAGTAAAAATAAAAGAAATAGAGGTTAAAATAAAGCCACATAAAGATGGAAAACACACAGAGAATACCGTATGTTATTATGCTCTCTTTAAATTGTTTGAATGCTGAGGAAGGAACAACAGCTGCTAAAAGATATTTGCTTATAAATGCTGCAGAATTAATCCAAGATAGGAATTTTGAAAAATACCTTGACTTCAAAATTGAAGTCAAAGGGTATGTTACTTTGGAGAAGAGATATGTCTTTGTTTCCACAGAAAATGAGAGGCTGTGGATTTATTCAGAGTTAAGAAAAATCAGCTTTGATCAAGGAAGACCACCTGAAAAATCTCCCATAGGAACAGATGGCCCAGATGACAGAGTTCTTCATCCAGAACAGGTTCAAGACTGCTGCCTGAGATGATCAAGACTCACAGGATACTTCAGTCAGGACTTGATCATAACTCTAAATTTTCTTTAGGTCCCCATAAGATTATCAGCGCCCCCAACCAGCTGGAAGTAGCCTGGAATACTACGCCCACATTCCCAAAAAATGGACTATGGATATTTTCCTTTGTTTTTCTTTTTTAAAAAAGAGAGGGAAGTGGTGTGGGAGAATTGTCTGTATTCTGTCAATCATGTTTTAAATAAACGCTGACTGGCCAGGCAGGAGATGTAGGTGGGAAACCCAGACAGGAAGTGGAAATGATGCAAGGAGAGCAGGAGGAATTCTAGGGAGGAGGAAGCTGATTCCCCCATTCCTGCCCAGATCACCGAAGCAGCAGGATGTGAGCTGCCCCACTGAAAAAGGTACTGAGCTACATAGGCTAAAATAGATCAGAAAAATGGGTTAGTCAAGATGTGAGAGTTAGCCAGTAAGAAGCCTGACCTAAAGGACCAATCAGCTTTATAACTTATAGAGATCTCAGTGTGATTTTTCTCTGGGACTAAACAGCTGGGGGGCCCCCAACAAACAAACCATCCCTTTATGTTACAATTTTAGAGTGTGAAATTATTAACAGACAAAAATCACTTTATTTATTAAATCCTAATCTGATGAGAGTCACTAATTTATTGTAAGCTGTTACAATGAAGGTAATTAAGACATAACAGTTAGTGATGAGTCACCTATGAATGACGAACTAAACTTAGTGTGCCCAAAGTTGTGTCTATATTCATGCTAAATACAGATATATACATCTGCTGTATACAAATGTAATTCACGGACAGACACAATATTACAGGGAGAGAAAACTTTCTCCCTCCCATTATCCAGTCCTCTGTATCTGTCATCAGAGTGAAGCTTAATGCAGAAAACTGAACGAATGTAAGTTCCACTTTCTCTTCTTTAGTATGGAATAATATTGAAATCAGATGTCCTTAAAGGAACTGGTTATTGGGCCAGCAGTGGTGACGCACACCTTTAATTCCAGCACTCTGCAGCAGAGGCAGAACAATCTTTTTGAGTTCACTGCCATCCTGGTCTACACAGTCAGCTCCAGGACTACCAGGGCTACAGAGAAACTGTCTTAAAAAAACAAACAAACAAACAAAAAATAAGAACCACAAAAGAAAAGAGAAACATAGGAAGCCGGTTATTGAAATTGAGTGCTTGAGTAAAAAGGGTTAAATCTACACAACACTTGCACGGAAGGACACAGCCAGAATCAAATGCCTCACTTACCCTCAGATGGGACAGAGATCTATGAGACTAAATGGCATTCTAGTCTCAACGCAGGAGAAGGATGCATGGGGAATAGGACTCATCAGTGCCTGCAGCTCCTGTCTCCCTGCGGCCTGTGGGCCAGGCCAGAAAATCCTGTTCCTTATCTGAAGGGAAGATGAGTCGCTCCTCATGCCCCACAGCACAGGAGGTAGATTCTCTCATGCTGAGGAGGATCTTAGATTCTGCACCACACTCCAAATGTGTCAGGCAATGGAGACCCTCATTGCAATTTCTCTGTACTCCATGTCTCGTGAACTGATAGTAAAAGTTACCGAGGGGAACCTTATTCCTATGCCTGCTACCCAACTGTTACAGGAACTACATGCTAGTTCAACTGGCCTTGCCCTGTCCCCGGTTTTGAATTTTCCTTCTCTTAACTAAGCTAATTTCAGAGCTGAGGTGTCAGTGTCTGATTGTGTAAGGAGTCCTCAGCAAAGCGGTAGATAATACAGGACAGAGGCTCTGCCACCGGAACAGTGGGCACAGCAGGCTGAACGCCGGGCACTCATGTAAACTAAGCTGCACGCGCCAGGTGGCAGAGGGTATAAGAAATACGGGTTCCTAAGAAGGACATGCATGGAGGGCCCCAGGCAGGGGAAATAGTTAAGATCTCCTATGTAAACTGGGAGGGGGGAAGGGAAGGAATGAGGGATGGGAACGTGAGGGATCAGGATGACTGAGTTGTGGGAAAAAGGGAGAGCAATGAAACAGGTGTCTTGATGGGAGAGCCATTCTGGGGTTACGGAGGAACATGGTGCTAGGGAAATCCCTAAGAATCCATAAGGATGACCCCAGCTAAGATTCTGAGCAATAGTCGGGAGGGTGCTTGAACTGGCCTCCCCGTAATCAGATTAGTGACTATCTTAATCATCATAGAACCTACATCCAGTAACTGATGGAGGCAGATGCAGTGATCCACAGCCGAGCACTGGGCTGAGCTCCAGTAGTTCAGTTGAAGAGAGGGAGGAAGGATCATACGAACAAGGGAGGTCAAAACCATGATGGTGAATAACACAGCAGAGACAGCTGAGCCAAGCCAGTGGGAGTTCATAGACCGTAGAATGACAGCTGGGGAACCTGCATGGGACCAAACTACACCCTCTGAATGTGGGTGACAGCTATGTAGCTAGATCTGTTTGGGCAGCCCCGGCAGTGGGACCAGGACTTATTCCAAGTACACGAGCTGGGTTTTTAAAAGTCATTCCCTATGATGGGATACCTTGCTCAGCATTGATATGGGGAAGGGGGATGGTCCTGCCTCAACTTGGTATGCCAGACTTCAGTGACTCCCCAAGGGAGGCCTTACACCTCTGAGAAGTGGAAGGAGGGTGGGATGGGGGGAATGTAAGGGAGTAGGAGATGGGGAAGGAGGAGAAACTGGGACTGGCATGTAAAATGAAAAGAAAATTTTAATTAAAAAAAGGAAAAAGAAATATAGGTTCATTTTAAATGTAAAAGCTTGCTAAGTATAAGCCTAAGCTATTGATCGAGCATTTATAATTAATATTAAGTCTCTGCTTTGGTTATTATGGAGCAGCTGATAGGACAGGAAAACGCCACACGCGCATGGTGTCGAACTGGGTGCGTCGACATCTATGTAAGACTTAAGCACACTTAAAAATATTCCAAGCACACTAAAAAGGAGTCAGACAAGGTCTCCTAGTCTTGTGTCTCTCATATGGGCTGCAGTACAGGGATGTAACTCCTGGCAGCTGCCTAAGGACGTGAGTCACCAGTATGAGCTCCACCTGCACGCTGTGTGGGGAGTTTGGGGTTTTGCTCATGCAGGCAGAAAAGGAAAGACAGATCCAGATTGGAAAAAAAAAAAATCTGTGACTAGGTTACAGTACATTTAAAAATGTACAAAGGTATGGGAGAAAAAAGTAAAAATGTATAGACAGTCATAAAAATATATAAACATACTTTTAAAATAATAAAGTAAACGCACTAAAAAGGGGAATAAGTGATATAAAAGAAAAAAGCTACATAAAGATAGAAAATACATAGAATGTTTCGATTCTATGTTACTGTGTTGTCTTTAGATTTTCTGATTGCTAATGAAGAAATGACAGCTGCTAACAAACATTGGATTGTGAAACTGGTGGAATAAACCAACCTGTATATTTTTAAAAGGTCTTGACTTTAAAAAAGAAGTCAAAAATATGTTACATTGAGAGAGAGGTTATGCTTTTCTTTCCACAGGAAATCAGTCTGTGGAATCATTCCAGGTTGATATGGGTCAATTTTGATTGAGGGAGACCCCCTGATAATCCTGGCTAAGGCATAAAAAAATAAACCTGGAATAACTACAACACATATGATGTATATTTTACATGCTCAAACATAAAACGTAATCTTTGACTAACTTGGGTATAAGATATATATAGTATATATATATATATATATATATATATATATATATATATAGTTATTGGGTATAACTATAATTATATTAATACAGATGTGTATGTTACCTTAAAAACTTGATATATATTCAGAACAAGGAGACTAGACAGCAAGAAAAATGGATGGCCTAAATGATCCAAAATCTCAGAGCACCTCTGTTGCAGTTTCCTCAGAATTCTACATCCAAAACAATTTCAAAGCTGCTGGTTGGCATTATCCAGCCTTACAGACTACTCCAGCCAAGACCTAACAATTATCCTGACTTTCTCAATGTTTTCCCAAAGATATCAGCACCCGCAGACAACAGGAAGAGGTCCAAAGAACAATGACTACATTCCCAAATATGGGTAATAGATGTTTATTACCATTTAAGGAGGATTAGAAAAATAAAGGGAAAAAAGGAGGATTTGGTTACAAAATTTTGTTGGTCTTAGGCAAAAAAAAGTTAAGCAAAAGAGTTAAATTTAAAGATCTCTTTCTAAAGAAAAAAAAAGGGGATATAATAAAGAAATGATGAGACAAAAGGGTAGATTATTGAATTTACTTTAAACCAGAAAACAGCCATTAACCTCAAAATATTTTACATTGGTATGCATTTTGGTTTATTGATACTGTCTACTCTTGTTTGGGGTATTGTATTTATGCAGCTCATATATACATGTATATACACATATACATTATAAACATGTATATGTTTATATATTATATATGTATATACATACATAGAAAGGTAACATATAATTAAAATAAAGATTAGAAGTTAGTTATCTACAATAAGCAAACTTATAGTCAAGTTCAGTGTGTTTTCAAGGTCATTAACAGATATACTTAGATATATGGTCTTCAAACACTTCAAAGACATACAAAATATGGTTTTTTTAAAATGTTTTAATAATATGAGGTTTTTTTGATAGTGAGACATGTCTGCTCCTGGTAGCAACAATTTACTTCAAAGAAGATGATGGGCACTGTAGAAATTGCATTTGGAGTTTATTTTCTTTATGGCAAAACCTAGCCATTTGGACTAAGAAACTGCCCTTGCCTCAACTGCTGACAGTATACTGTCCAAACTGTATCAGCAGGACACAAAAGAAAGTGACTACCAAAAGTTTGCCAAGATAAGGTAGGATAATTCTTCAAAATTTCCTGCTTCTCAAAAATGTCTGTCAGACATTCTAGGCCTATAGGTCAAAGATGGATGCCCCAACATTACAGAAGAACTTTGAGTGACCATTCAGGCAGCCAGAAATCCCTGTTGCTAAGGTAACATTTTATGCTTCTGGGGTCTTTGATCAAGTTAAAGACTAAATAATTAGACTTAAAGTTTTCCTTAGTTATGATAAAAGGTAAATTAGAAATAAAACTTTTTTTGAAAAATAGGTTAATAGAATATGTCCTCTAAATTTGCCAAATACAAATGAACTGGGTATTGTAACTGTAATTCTTATTTGACAACTGCTTTTGCTACATACAGTTTTACTATGTTAAATTAAAATCTTCCTTTTAATTAGATAAATAGGAGAAATGCTGTGGAATAATTCTTCTGTACACTGTGAAAATGTGCTGCTCTCATTGTTAATAAAAAACTAACTGGCCCATGGTGAGGTAAGATTTTTGGGGCAGAGAGAATGTTGGAAAAAAGAAGGACAGAGTCCCCAGGATGCAGAGGAGAAAGAGATAACATTACCATATGGAGTAAAGTATCACCACATGGCAGAATATAAATGAGACATATGGGTTAGTATAAAATGTAAGAGCTAGTTAGTAATCAGTCTGAAATATCAGCTGAACATTCATAATTAAGACTCTGAGTGGTTATTTGGAAGTGGCTTCTGGGACAGAACTGATCTTGGTCCCAAGAAAAACTCCACATACACTCCTCAACTCTGCTCCCATTATAAATCTGGAAGTCAATGAAAACATACACTTGAAGGAAGTTTGAGAATCAACAGGAGACCTTGAGATGAAAGGACCCAAGATCTCTTCATCCAATTGGACTCTTGGTAATATTGATCATAATGAATTCTATAGGGCTAGCCACAGTGACTACCCAGAATGGATCTGTAAAAAAACATTTTACCAACTCTGATGTATTTGGGAACATCAGCTTTATACATACAAGTTTATAATTTCTCTAGCAAGTGGTGACTGGGAATATAGCCAAATAATAGACAAAACAAAATCCTAAAAAACTAGGGATCCTGAAAGGCCTAAATCTACTAATTGCCATAAAAGAGCCACACTGTACCCATAATTGGTTTGATGGGCATCCCTGAATCAACATGTAAGGCCTTGTAAGTCATTCTGTCCTACCCTTCCTAGATCTAATGGTCAGACCCTGCCAAACCAACTGGTGGTTAAAGTGTTGAAAGAAATCCAATAGCCTCTGCTAAATTAATGTACCTAATGACCCAATACAACCCCTTCTAAAATACACTAATGCTTTGACCTTCCCTAAGATCAGTGGGGAATGAACAGTCCAAAGCGACTCTGGTTTGTCTGAGTTTTATCCAATGGCTCCCCATCCCCAAGTTGTTCTAATCAACAGAACTGACACTGTTCAGCCTGTATCACTGTCTGCCCTTCTGGGGTGGAATTGTGGGTTTGACTTTATAAACTCAATATTCTCACTTTGATGTACAGATCTTTCTGGCATGGGTCTGTTCTCGATGTCTGTAAATAAATGACTCTCAATATGACCAACACAGACTTCTCCTTCACTGAGTCTTATATGACAATAACTCATCAAAAAGAAAAACCTCGGGGGCTGGAGAGATGGCTCAGTGGTTACGAGCATTGCCTGCTCTTCCAAAGGTCCTGAGTTCAATTCCCAGCAACCACATGGTGGCTCACAACCATCTGTAATGAGGTCTGGTGCCCTCTTCTGGCCTTCAGGCACACACAGAATATTGTATACTAAATAAATAAATAAATATTGGGGCTGGAGAGATGGCTCAGTGGTTAAGAGCATTGTCTGCCTTTCCAAAGGTCCTGAGTTCAATTCCCAGCAACCACATGGTGGCTCACAACCATCTGTAATGAGGTCTGGTGCCCTCTTCTGGCCTGCAGGCATACACTCAGACAAAATATTGTATACATAATAAATAAATAAATATTTTTAAAAAAAAGAAAAGAAAAACCTCGGAAGTCACGGCAAATAGAAGCACAGCTTGTTGTTGGAAAGATACATAGCTTATGAGACGTAAAGCATCTAAGAGATGTGCTTTGACAACGAGGACCTGAAGGAGAGACCTAAAGAATGATTCCCAGAGTATCATGTTTCAAGGCACATGGGAAAGCCTGTCTTCCTATTGGATACTTGGACCTCCACTTTGCCCCCAGTCCCCTCAGTCCTACACACCTGGGTGCACGCTGGCTGATGCTTTTCTCTTCCTATCTGAAGGCTCTGATCTTTGCTCCAGAAATGTCACCAGGTGTGGCTTAGGGACACCAAGACCTGTTTGTAGAAAAAAAGAAGTTTGTTTATGCGTTCTCATACATGGAATTGACATGTCCCTGCCTGTACATGGCTTGTAAGGACAGAGATGAGGTGCCAAATGATTGCAGACAATCAGTTCCTTAAATGTTTTCAGACAGGATCACTACAACATGTGAAGGAGCCTATAACACCCAGAGTCTGAGTTTCATTTAAAAAAAATTAAATCTGAATTGTGAAATACTTTCATTAACAAGCATGCTCCATGCCTCAGGCCACTGAATTTCTGACAGTTCCACTAGAGTGAAGGAAACAGACATCTAACACAAAAGGTTAAACACAAAAAGAGAAAAACAGTGAAATGGTTTTTAAAATAATTTATTTTTATTTTTTATATGCATAGGTGTTTTGGCTGCATGTATGTCTGTGTGAGGATGAAGATTAAACTAATTAATCTTTATCAATAAAAATCAGGTGTCAGGTATTGAGGTAAGAACCTGAATGATGAGAGAAGCGGCTCAGAAGCCAACTTCCTACGTCTCCCATTCCTCTGTCCAAATGGGATAAGTACCTGTCTCAGCCCAACCTTACCACTTCCTCTAGTGACATTTCATTTGTATTTTAATAGAAAAAGCTTGTCTGAAGACCAGAGTGCAAAACAGTCACACTAGTCAACCAAACAGGCTGGGCAGTAGTGATGCCTTTAAAGTCAACACTAAAGAGGAATGGTGTAGGAGGGCCTTCTGTCTATGTGTTGCTTTCATTGGTTAATAAAGGCTTTGAGCCTATGGCAGGGAAGAACAGAACTAGGCAGGGATAAGCTAGGCTGTATTCAGGGAGGAAGAAAGCAGAGTCAGGTAGCTGCCATGGAGTCACTAGAGTCAGACATGCTGAATCTTTCCCAGTAAGTCACTGTCATGTGGCAATACACAGATTAACAGAAATGGGTTAAACTGAGATGTAAGAGTTAGCTAATAAGAAGTTAGAGCTAATGGGCCAAGCAGTGTTTTAATTAGTACAGTTTCTGTGTGGTTATTTCAGGTGTAAGCTAGCCGGTGGCCTGGATGAACAGCGGGGCCCTCCTCCTGTTACAGAGGAATATAAGGTGGAATGAGACAGAAACTTGATCTCTTTCAGTCTGACGATTTCATAAAGAACTCTCTAGTGACTTGGCTGCTTTGTGTCTCAGATCTTCAGGTTGAACCCTAATATCTGTCACTGGGTTTTTACTATGCATGCCACAACTTCCTGTCCCTCTATCTACAGTCCTCCAAACCTCTAGGGTCAGCTAGCTCCACCCTCTGAGTCCAAACAAGCTTTATTTGTCAATCAAAATATTGCACAACATGAGGGTGTCAGATCTTGGCATTGCAGACAGTTGTGAGCTGTGAATTGAATCCCAGTTCCCTAGAAGAGCAGTCAGTGCTCTTAACAACTGAGTCATCAGACCAGCCCCCAAATTATTTTTAATATAGCAATCTCCCTAATTTTTCTGTAAATGAAGGATATGAAAATCACTGTAGAAATGCTCCCATGAAATACCATACAATGTGAAGTGAAATAAGAAGTCACTACAGATGAGATCCTCACCCAGGAATTCAAGGTTGCTGTAATTCTCCAACATCACATCCCTGTACAGACTCCACTGAGCAGGCTGCAGGCATTTCCTCTCTTGGGGAGAGAACTCGATGGCCACATCCGAGAAGGACAGCATCTCCTGAAATAAAGATCAACAAATGATACCACACTTTTGTACTTAAAACCATCAATAATATAAATATCAAGATGCACTGGACTGGATAGTTCTGTTGACTTGACATTAGCTAGGGTCATCTGAGAAGAGAGAAACATAATAAAGAAAAATGCCTCCCAAAAACGGTCCTGTAGGGAAGAATGTGACATTTTCTTAATTCATGACTCATATGATGTATCACAGCCCTTTTATGGGTGGTCCCCAATAGGCAGGAAGTCCTATCTGGTATAGTAAGGCTGGATGGGCAAGTCAGTAAGCAGTGTTCTTAGTGAGTTCTGTTCCAGTTCTTGCCTCAGGTTCCCGTCTTGACTTCCCTCAGGGATGGACTGTTACCTGGAGTTGGAGTCTAAAATAATCCCTTTCTTCTCCAAGCTGACTCTCATCACGGGCTTTAGCACAGCAATACAAACCCTCAGACAGGCATCACGTGTCTGTGGATTTCTCCGAGGATGAAAGAGAGTTAGAAAGGTTTCTTACATAGGAAGTAATATTCCAGACATATCTGAAGCGGTCACATGATCCTACACTGACCTATCAAAAGGAAAGACAAAGTAAACAATTCTATAGGCCCAATTTGACACAATCCATTTAAGGCAGAAATGTAAAATGAACGCATCCATTGGTGTGGGAGAATTGTCTGTATTCTGTCAATCATGTATTTTAATAAAACGCTGATTGGCCAGGCAGGCAGTATAGGCGGGAAAGCCAGACAGGAAGTAGGGGTGGAGCAAAGAGACTGGGAGTATTCTGGGAAGCAGGAAGCTCCCTAGCCACTCCTGCGCTGACCACTGAAGAGGCAACATGTAAGCTGTCAGACTGAGAAAGGTACTGAGCTGTGTGACTAACATAGATAAGAATAATGGGTTAATATAAGCTATAAGAGTTAACAAGAAGCCTGAGCTAAGGGTCAATCAGCTTTATAACTTATAGAGATCTCTGTGTGATTGATTTTCTCTGGGTTTTCCGGCTGTGGGATACTGAGCGGGAACAGATACCCCAACAAGTCGGCCGTCATGTTACAATCCATAAAACATGTACTTAGTACTATGTGCTACTATACACCACACACATATATATTCCTCACAGGAGAAAGTCACCGTGAAGGAGAAGGGATTTCTCAACAGTTCATGCGCACAATCATGAAAGTGAAGTGTAATGAAAATACAGAGTTTGACGCAGCAAGGCCCCAAAGCAGAAGTAACTATAAGAACCACTCCCCAAATTGCCTAGCACAGTTACCACACGGGGAAGTGCCTGCCGTACCAGCGCCAAATCTCTCTGAGACGCTGTGGGTGGGGGGCAGTACATCTGTGAATATTATTTAGGAGGGATTTTACCCAATAGTATTAAAGGCAAAAATTTCAGGTGAATTATATTCTGGCAAAATTCATTTCTATAGAGAAGAAATTCAAATGGTGTCTGTCCTAAGGGGGACACATTGACACTCACTAAAGACTGTTACACATTCTTAGTATAATTTGGAGTTGGATATAGTACTCCATGTGAATGGCGGTTGTTTCCACAGACAACAAGGAACAACTAAATGGACAGAGTAGTTGTAGTAAGAATTCTTGCGTCTCCTGTCAGTGTCCCACAGAGATATCTTTTCAGAGAGTCAAACAAACCTGAAGACTAGACATTTCAGCTGGTTGTTCTGACAGGGGCTAGGTATAATCTAGCAGAGGGTACTTGGGAGTGTACCATGTTTACACAGTCCTTCTCATTCTGTGGACACATCTGTATTTACTCTGTCAACACTTTTCTTGGTAAATGTGAGGTGGTTTAAGAGTTGATTGCAGGAGACCTGAAGGACTGAACCACCTGGGAGCAGCAATCGACCTCCCCTGCCCCAGTGGAAATTGACCCACTGGGGAGCAACGAGCCACCGGGACCATGGCACCATGGCACCATGGCAAGCCTCCACCTCTAGGAGTAACCATCTGCGCCTTGGGCCTGCTTGCACCTGGAGGAGATAACCAGAGGCTCTACTCTGCCTGCCCCTTAAGGGGCGTCCAGCTGAGCCAAAGCCACCAACTGGAGGAAGAGGAACCCCCTGAAGCACAGGCTCCACCTATACCACCTGGAAGAACAGACGGGTAGACAACAAGGTAAGAACACACTCAACAACACACTCTACAACACAAAGGGCAAAACGACACCACCAGAAGCTAGTGGCTCTACAGCAGCAAGAGCTGAACATCCCACACAGATGGAGTAGAAGAAAACGACCTTAAAAGTAACTTTATGAAAATGACTGAGGCCTTTAAGGAGAAACAAAAAATTCTCTCAAAGAAGTGGAGGAAAAGACAAACAAAAAGTTGGAAGGCATCAACAAATCCCTTAAAGAAAACCAAGAAAAAGCAATCAAGCAGGTGAAAGAAATGATTCAAGACTTGAAAACCGAAATAGAGACAATAAAGAAACTACAAACCAAGGGAATTCTGGAAATGGAAAATTTGAGTAAATGATCAGAAATCACAAATGCGAGCATGAACAACAGAATATAAGAGATGGAAGAGAGAATCTCAGGTGTTGAAGACACTATAGAGGAAATAGATTCATCAGTCAAAGAAAACGTAAAAATCCAACAGAAGCTTAAGGCAAACTATCCAGGAAATATGGGACACCATGAAAAGATCAAATGTAAGAATAATAGGGATAGAAGGAGAAGAAGTCCATCTCAAAGGCACAGAATATATATTCAACAAATCACAGAAGGAAACTTTCACAGCCTAAGGAAAGACATGGCTGTGAAAATAAGAAAAGCTGACAGAACACCAAATAAACTGAACCAAAAAAGTTTCCTCGCCACAAAAATACACAAAACACTAAAATACAGAATAAAGAATGTTAAGAACTGCAAAGGGAAAAGGCCAAATAACATATAAAGGCAGATCTATCAGAATTACACCTGGCTTCTCAATGGAAACAATGAAAGCCAGAAGGTCCTGGTCAGGTGTTCTGCAGACACTAAGAGTTCATGGATGCCAACCCAGACTACTGTACCCAGCAAAACTTTAAATTACCATACATGGAAAAAACAAGATATTCCATGATGAAACCAGATTTAAAGAATACCTATCCACGAATCCAGCACTACAGAAAGTACTAGAAGGAAAACTCCAACCCAAGGAAGTCAGCTACAGCCACAAAAACACAGACAATAGATCTCACAACAGCAAATCCCAAAGAAGGGAAACACACACACAATACCAGCAACAACACAAAACAAAAATAGCAGGAACTAGTAATCACAGGTCATTAATATTGCTTAATATAAATAGATTCAATTTGCCAATAAAAAGACACAGGCTAACACATTAGATACAAAACAGAATCCATTCGTCTGCTGCATACAAGAAGCACACCACAACCTCAATGACAGACACTGTCTCTGAGTAAAGGGTTGGGGAAAAAAGTTTCCAATCAAATGGACCCAAGAAACAAGCTGGTGTAGCTAATATCTAATAAGATAGACTTCAAAATAAAATCAATCAAAAAAGATAAAGAAAGGATATTTCATATGCATCACAGGAAAAATTCTTCAAGAGGAAATCTCAATTCTGAACATCTCTGCCCCAAGGAACATCTCTGGAAGCATCACTATCCCTGACTTCAAGCTTTATTATAGAGCTACAGTAACGACAACAGTTTGGTATTGGCATAAAAACAGACAGGTTGATCAATGGAATTGAATCAAAGATCCTGATATTAGCCCACACACCTTCAAACACCTGGTTTTTTTTTTTTACAAAGAAACTAAAAATATAAAATGGAAAAAGAAAAGCGTCTTCAACAAATGGTGCTAGTATAACTGGGAGTCGACATGTAGAAGAATGCAAATATATCTATTTATTGCCATGCACAAACTCAAGTCCAAATGGATCAAAGACTTCATGAGCCTCATGAAGAGAAAGTGGGAGGTACACTTGAACACATTGGCATAGGAGACCACTTCCTAAATATAACCCCAGTAGCACAGACACTGAGAGAAACAATTGATAAATGGGACCTCCTGAAACTGAGAAGCTTCTGTAAAGCAAAGGACACGGTCAACAAGACAAAACAGCTGCCTACAGAATGGGAAAAGATCTTCACCAAGCACACATCTGACTGAGGACTGATCTCCAAAATATATAAAGAATCCAAGAAATTAGACATCAAACTACCAAACAATCCAACTAAAAATGGATACAGATCTAAACAGAGAATTCTCAACAGAAGAATCTCAAATGGCTGAAAGACACTTGAAATGTTCAACATTCTTAGTCATCAGGAAAATGCAAATCAAAACAACCCTGAGATTCCATCTTACACCTGTCAGAATGGCCAAGATCAAAAACCCTGATGACAGCTTATGTTGGAAAAGATGTGGAGTAAGGGGAGCACTCCTTCATTGCTGGTGAGAGTGCAAACTGGTACAGCTGCTGTAGAAATCAGTATGGTGATTTCTCTAAAAATTAGGAATCAATCTACCTCAAGACCCGCAACACCACTTTTGGGCCTATACCCAAAGAGGTTAAATCACACCACAAAAACATTTGCTAAACTATGTTGATAGCAGCACTATTCATAATAACCAGAACCTACAAACAACTTAAATACCCCTCAACAAAGAATGGATAAAGAAAATGTGGTACATTTACACATTGGAGTACTATTTGGCAGTTAAAAAAAAAAACACCAATGACATCTTTAATTTGCAGACAAATGGATGGAACTAGAAAAAAAAAACATCCCGAGTGAGGTAACCCAGACCCAGAAAGACAAACATAGTATGTACTCACTCATAACTGGATATCAGACATAAAACAAGGATAATCAGCCTATAGTCCACAGCCCCAGAGAAGCTAGAACCCTCTTCCAAAAACTGATAGAAGCAGATGTAGAGATCCACAACTAACCACTAGGTCAAGTTCCAGGGGAAGAGAGAGACTAGGGATAATACAAATAATATTATTATCCTATAATAATACCATGGAGTTAATACCATGATGGGGAAAACCACAGAATCAGCTGACCCAAGCTAGTGGGAGCTCACTGATTCCAGACTGACAACTGGGGAACCTGCATATGACAAACAAGACCCCCTGAATACAGGTGACAATGGTGTGTCTTGGGCAGTATATGGGGCCACTGGCAGTGGGACCAGTATCTAGCTCTAATGCGTGAACTGACTTCGTGGAGCCCATTCTATAGACAGACAGACAGACAGACAGACAGTTACAAAGGTAACTAGATACATACATAGGCACGAAGGTAGATAGATAAACTGAAGAGTAGCAGGATATTGATCGGAAGTCAGATGCAAAGAAGGGACTGGATTCCAGGTCAGGCAGGTTCCAAAACAGTAGCGACCCTCCATTCAAAATAGCAGATCTACATACGATATAACAGCATGCTTAAAATGCACACCGCACACATCATGGAGTACCAACCCTAGATCTTTGTCCCAGGGCTTTAATCACATGACTGTGGCATGAAACAATCACTAGCATTGGCTTCAAGCCACCAAGTTATGCAATTTTATGACTCAGAAAGTAGATTAAACTATGAAAAATATGAGAGACAAAATATAGTACCTGATTTGGAAACATGCATTATATAATTACGATTTTAGTTTCAAAATAAGTATCACATGTTTTGCTCTGTACATTAGACGTCTAGATGTTTTGCGGATTTTAATAGACCATACATTGTTTCTGAGTCTTCTTAAAGCATCACTGTGTGGAGTATATCCAATACAGATTAGGGCCATGAACTCTCATAGACCTGACTTTATTTCACATAGAGACTGCAATGGAGAGAACAACAGAATGCAGATATCGAAGAGGTGGCCATGCAACCACATGCACCTTTCATCTCAAAATATGTTGCTGCATTTGATAAGGACTATGGAGGATATTATGGCAGACACTTTTATAACCCGAATTAACAACATAATAAAAATCGGTGCTGTTCAGGTTTATTCCTTTCATGTGTTTGATGCCTGTTCAAATCTTTTGCAAGATCTCTCCATGGCCTCTGACATAATCATTCAGATCAATCGGCAGGAACTGAATGTCATCACTCAGCACCTCCGCTCCAGGGTTTTCCAGAGATAACATGTCTAACACAGCACGGGTCATACATGAGCTGTAAACACAAGTAACTCCTTCCCTCACACTGACATAGAGCACAGTAAAAGAAGCCTGGGAGGAAAGACACAGGACTGCCAACCAGGGGAACTGGACTGGACCTGCGGAGGAGCAAAACCCACCATTAGCAGTCTGCTTTACTGGTTGGCTCTGCAGTGCCCCGTGGGAAGGACAGTGCAGGGAGTGGTTTTGTTCTGGCTCACTGTAAGAAGCATCTGCTCACAGTGCAGCCTCTGCTGTTAGGACAGGGGAAGGCATCCCAGCTGCAGCTGCAGACAAAGACCCAGGAATGTAACCGCAGTAGCCACATCAGTCAAGAACTGCAGAATGGAAATAAAGAAATAATGGAGTTTCAGATTAGATATGAAAGGAACAAACTGGAAGAAACCAGAAGAAAGTCACATCAGGTCATGAAAGCAGCTAAGAGATTAATATGTAAAACGAATGAACCACTTTTTGTTGTTGCTGAATATAAGCAGAACTATTCAAACAAAGCAAAGAGAATTCTTCCTCACAGAGTAAATGCAAACAACTTTCTGAATACCAAAATTAAAGTCTTTAACAAGAACATGTTGGGGACAAAGTTTAAATTACTTGTGGGATGAGTCAGCAGAAGTTAAGCACACATAGTTTGTAAATCAACAAAGTGTTGATTGCATTGATTTGTCAAGGTGCTCACTGTAAGAAATGGGAAATGAACGATAGAAAGTATTTATCACATCATTAAACTTGAAATGCTCCCTGTCACAGACTCGGGTAGCCTAGGCTGGCCTGGAATTTGCTATGAATCAGTAGAGAACCAGAGGGCCCTGCCTCCCCCTCACAAATGCAGAGATGACAGGGATGTGCCTCAGAGGAGACTGACGTTTCTTTTCTATCACAGGTCTGGTTACTAAAATCACAGGACTACACACATGTCTGGGAGTTCTCCTCACCTGTGGATCTCACACTTAAAGACCCCCGGAGTGGGGAGACTCTCACTCAAGTCTCAGGATTATATGACCGCCCAGGAACTCACAAGGGACCGTCCTTGCTGCAATCACACGAGGTTTATAGACAGGAACCAGTACACTGGGGCCAAAACTCATTTCCCATGCAGGGTTAGAGAGTTCAACCCTGAGTAACTGGGAGAAGGAATAGTTAAGGGAAGAAACCATAACACAATAATCCAAAGCGGGTAGGGAGGGTGTCATTGGAAAATTCCGAAAATGCCAGTAATAATCACAAGGGGGTAACTCCCTGTTTCTCAAGATTATGATCTAACTTTATCTTCAGCTAGTTCCTGAAACAGAGTCACTGAACCGGCTAATCTAGATTTTTGATTCTTCTCTCCCTGCTTAGATTTTTGGCTCTTTTTTTTCTGCTAGAGGGGTCTGGATTTATCCTGGTCTTTCAACACAAAAGCCTGGCGCTGTAACACAAGGCCATGAGAGCTTTTCACCTGCTCCTAGGGACCCTGCTTCCGGACCAGCTCAACAAGCTCAAGACCACATCAAGACGTTGACACAACCATTGCGGGCCAAGCAGACATCCTGTCGTTTTCACAGTTAGTCGGCCTACATTAAGGGATGAGGGATCTTTCAAAGCTTGAAGAAAACCAGTCCTCAAGGTGAGGTCTGAAGTCAACTTCTCTAGTTCCTTCGTCCTGCAGAGGGTCCCTCTGTGTGTGGGCTGTATGTGTGTTCTCTCGCCCCCTAGTCACAGCTTTCTATAGCAGCTGATCCTGGCAGATCTGTCTGCTGTGTTTCAGAATTTCTCACATGCAACCTGTTGCACCTCAGACTTTCCCGCTCTTAATTCTTTAACTGGAGACAAAATGAACACAATCAAAACCTCAAGACCGTTACACTAGGCTGGCTACAGAGCACAGGAAGGACCAGAAACCCCGTTTGGTCTAAAGTTAGCGAGAAATCTGACAGCATCCCTGTGAGAATGGGTCAGAAGTGAAGCAGGCTTCCCCACCAAAGCTGCTCAGTGAGCTCCCAGCTCCCCCTCAGGAGCAGGCAGTCAGCTGACCATCCTTAGCTTGCAACCCTGGACCTTGCACTGTCATCTACTCCGCGCAGCTCTCCTGTCCCAGAAGCCCAAGGCGGACTCGGGCTGCACGTGGCGTCCTAAGAAAACCATTGTTCAGGGAACAGTCCCGGTCGCCGTCTCCCCAGCCCTGACCTGCAACCTCAGGCGTCCCAGCCAGTTGAGCACAGCACCTCCAAAGCAGCTTCTCCCGCCCTCCCACCCAGCCCAGGTCCGCTCCCTCCAAGACGGCCCCGCACCCCGCACAGAGCCTCAGGCTCCGCTGCACCCAGGACCAACCTCCATGTCAGAGACGCCACAGGAATGCACAGCAGGGGGATTCTCGCCCAACTTTGAGGAAGACACTCACGTGGAGACCAAAACTTTGAGTGCGGATTTCCTGCTTGTCTCCCTGCGATGTCACATTCCCCAAGACTACATTTCCCAGAAGTCTGTGGGAAGAAAATCCCCGGACCCCATTGGGGATTTCTTCAGTTCCTGGATTTGTGCGTATTAGAATCCTGGAGAAGTCCCTCAAAAGACCACCATCCACGTATGCAATCAGCAACAAGGTTGTTAATTTCCAGCATGCTGGTGAAAGACCCCCGGAGTAGGGAGACTCTCACTCAAGTCTCGGGATAACACGACCCCCAAGAATTTACGAGAGACCCGCCCTTGCTGCAATCACACTGAGGTTTACTGACAGGAACCAGCGCCCTGAGGCCGAGACTCATTTCCCACGCGTGGGTAGAGAGGAGTTCCACCCCGAGTAGCTGGGAGAAGGGGTATTTAAGGGAAGAAACCATAACCCAAAGCGGGTAGGGAGGGCGTCATTGGAAAATTCCGAAAATACCAGTGATAATCACAAGGGGGTAACTCCCGGTTTCTCAAGATTGTTCTCAAGATTATAATCTAACTTTGTGGTCAGCCAGTTCTTGGAACAGAGTCACTGAACCGGCTAACCTAGGTTTTGGGCTCTACTCTTCCTGCCAGAGATTTTTGGCTCTACCCTTCCTACTAGGGATTTCTGGCTCTATGCTGGTCCTTCACTGGGACCGTCCATTCCATAATGTCAGCTCTGAGAGAAGCTGGCAGACCTCTTTTAAGCAGAACTAACGTTCCTAGGCAGTTAGGTCATTTTATCTACAGGTGCCTTTAAGCAAGTGGCAATCATAGTAATACTTTCTAATTGGCCAGGGCTAGTTAGGGACTGGTCAGAGCTACAGTTTTCCATTTGTAACCAGGCCTGGACAAGTCCCAGGCTTTGTCCTTATTTGGTTATCTGCTGACTGTGCCTCAGACCTGGCCCGCTGGCCCGGCCTACTACTGCACGTACCAGGTCCCTTTGTCCTTACATTCAGGGACGGTGGAGATTACTTGTCCTTTATGGCTTTCCCCAGAAACTGCTTGTTCAGTCTCAGGATACTGACACTGAGGCCGGATCTCTGAGAGAAGACCAAGAACCCTGTTATAATGTCTGCTGAATCCTCTCATCCTCCACCCCTTTGAGTACTGGATCATCTCAAATCTGGAGATGTTTCTTTTTGGCTCATTGGCTCGTACTGTTGTTTAAATCCATTAGTTGAACTATGAAGATCCACTCCCTAATAAATCTGATAAAAGCATTGATTATACATGGTTCATAGATGAGAGCCAACAGTAAGGTGATTAAAGGTTCCACTAAGGCTGACTAGAGAGTAGTTAACCAGGGTGACCACTTTTACAGAGATCCACACCCTCCTTCATTTTGTTCTCTTTCCTGTTGTCTATCATGTAGCTTCTTCCTAAGCAGTGCCATTTAGTCCCTGAAAACCCCAGAATGGTTCATATGAAAGCAGCATTGCTCTCCTAGGGCCTCCCATCGGCCCCTCCTACTTTGGAGAACTATTCCCGTTAGAGAGGGGAGCGATTTCTCTAAATATGCAACAGATTTTTCTCTAGGATTGTGACATTTGCATCTGTGGCCATTTTCAAGACCCTGTAGTTCTGATCTTGTAATACCAAGGCTGAAGTTCCGGTACCTGTGGCCCCAGGGAAGCCGGCCATTGGAGGACAGACACAGGACAGGTGTGATGACGTCTCAGTTTTCAGGGCTCCTGGTCATTTGGGGCAGGTTGTTGTCATCAGCTGATGTTTGGGTGTGTCTGTCAGCCAAGTGGACACCTGTTGAGACAGACACAAACTAGGAACAGAAGTAAAAACTTAGGAACTTATTTGGAACTTTTAGAGCCATAATTGAGTCTAAATTGACTCATAGTTGTGTCAGTAATTGAAGAAAGGAAGGGGTTCCAAGACCAGGAGAGAGTGAGGTGACTTAGGAATAGGCAAGTAGGGAAACTTAGGCTGTATTTTTCTGAAATCCTTTGGACCTGTGAGAAGTGAATCCAAGTTATATGACTATCTCCATTCACTGAAGTTTCTATGAATTTCTATTTCATGGAATGACATAAAAGTTTCAGATATATTAGCATTATCCATCTGGACTGAAATCCATATTGAAGAAAAAGCAGGTAACAAGTGTCTGTAAAACAGCAGTAGACTCACATCTTTGAGTCTTAACAAAAGCCATAGATGTGAGTTAAAAAGCATGTACACTGGACATTTTCTTCTATCCAGAGAACCAGGTATAAATTGAACTGAAATGCCCAATGAAAAGCATCTATAAGTCTATATTTAGAAGACAACCAAGTCAAGAAGAGTCTGTAATGAGGGCGGAGAGAGAAAGGATAATAGAAGATGGACAGTGTGGAAGTGGAAGGGGAACTCTCACGGAGGAGGGAGCCCACAGGGCACCCAGACACTGGGGACAACGGAGAAGAGGACAGATAATGGCAAAGCAGTATGAACGTGGCCTCATGAGGGACCGTGACTGTGCTGGTCAAGGCATTGTATCGCTGTGATCCGAGGAACCGGTACTAAATGTCAGATGTGGTGGTACACATTTGGGGCCCTAGAGCTCCTGTGGTGAGGTGTGAGGTGGAGATGAGAGAACTGTTGGAAGCTCTCAGGCTTGCTGATCGAGAGTGCACAACTCAACAGCAGAGACAGAGGACTCTGCTCCAGTGAGGTTAAAGAGAGAACCAACTTCCAAAACTTATCCTCTGATTTTCACACACACACCATCACATAAGAACCCCCAACACACAATTAAAAAAGAATATGCCATAATAAAACCATTAATACTTAGAAATATTCAAAATTAATAAGAAAAATAAAGTGGCTATGCCCAGATCACGAAGTCCCCCCAAAACCCACAACAAAACCGAGTCCTATGTGTAAACGCAAAGAAACTTTATTCTTATTCAAGTTTGAACTTGGACTCTCTGTGTGTCCAACACATTGTCATGATCAGAGAGCCCTGAGCTCAGTTGGGGTGGGGGTTTTTTTTTTGGTTGTTGTTGTTTTTGTTTTTGTTTATCATAATGGAGGTTGAGATGAGGGATCTCTAAGGGTCAGAACCCCTGATTAGCTGACATTTGTCTAGGGATATCCTGGTGAAAGGAGATGGTGTGTTGGGCTGAGGGATATCAGGTGATCCTATCTACAATGGTTGAAACATTAAAAATTTCCTTTGGGTGGTCTGTTCCAGGGTGGAGCCTGGGTGGTTTCAGTTTGTGGTCTTTCTTAGAACCAGGTATTGCCTTAGGGTAAACTGTGACTCCGGGCTGCTACTTTTTAGTTGGTCTCTAGAGAGCCTGTCTTGGCAGGTGTATACCAAGCTGCCTTGGGTCCTTCTAAAGTGCATGCAAAACTAGATTAAAACATGGTAAATTGACTGACGAACTACTTCTAGTCAGCGACTGCAAATTTGAATGAGCACCAACCTCGTTTAGGGACATTTTTGTATGAGCACTTCTTACATTTCTGTAAGTGATTCCTATAGCCTGAACCCACCAAGGCCTGATTTCCCAGGTGAGGGTGGCACAGGGCCTTCATGGTAAGGGGAACCCACGTGAGAAACCGTCACATATATTGAAGAACACATGTAGAGAAAATAGATAGTCCGTTTCTGTTTTCAGAAATTAATGAAGTCGTCTGAAACTTGACCTACTTAATAGCATATGGTTTTAAATGTATTTATTTACTCACTATTTTCACAGTTTTAAGAATGAAACCTGCCAAAGATAGCAGAGCTCTGCTTACAAAATGAGGCTGAGTCTGCAATATGAATTTCCAGCCAGGGACGCTGGAGACCCCAAGAGCACGCAGGAATCGTCACTGCTGAGCTTTTAATAGAGGCAATTGCATGGAAAGATACTATATAATCATTAAACCATGTTTACAAGGAAAGAGAGTGTTTTACTTAATGTATCACTTGGGAGAACAAAGACCAGAAAGCACGGGTGGAAAAATACATGGTAATATACCAAGCCCATGCTTTTGTCGATCTATTTGGGTGCATGAACCTGGGGTCCTAAAAATGAGGCAGAATAAAGTCTAATGCAATCACCGACTTTATTCAGGGTGTCAGACATTTTTTTATATTCTGAGGATTAAGCAAGGTCCTGAGAGCAAAGTTCACTGGAGTTTGAGTTGTGTGTACAGTCACAAGGGCAAGGTCACGTGAGTTTTACAGTCTGGGGCACAGGGTCACCTTAGCCTGTGCTGTACACAGTTACGGGACAACTCACACTTGGAAACACCGTTCTGAATACTGATAGGTGAGATGATGGGCAACCTGAAGTAAAACTCACTCCTAGTCACCGCTGGGAGGGGCACAAAAGCGCACTCCAAGACAGCCCGTGATACATTCCACTCACCCTTGCTTCAAGTGCACTCAGGAGCAGCGTGCCAACTCCTTAAAATCCACAGGTCCCTCAAGACACCTAACATACAAAGCAAAGCATGTAGTATTTATTTCGAAACTAATATTCTAATTATGCATGCCATATTTTCAATAAAAACATGACATTTGGTCTTCCACGGGTCATTTCCATGCTGTAAGTCATAGTGGAGCCAAATGTGATGACTTCAGGCAACAATTAATGATTGTTGTGTGCCACACTCAGGTGAGTTAAGAGCTGGGACAAAGACCTGTGTGTTCCCACTTCATACTGTGTGTAGTGAGTCTTTGAAGCTTATGTTCTGTAATTGACTGAGAGACCAGAGCTGAAGGGAGGGTCACTGGTGTTCGGAGCCTGAGCAGTAATACGGTTCTGTCTTTGCAAGTAGCCTTGACTTCCCCACAATCTCCAGGTAGTCAGCTTTGTCTGCAGTGTGCAAAAAAATATGTCTCCATGGGGACACTGAGAGGGTGTGTGAGAATTCTTAGGAGTTCGGCTCTGTCTGTTCTGTTGTAGTAGGCTGTTCCTAGGACCAGTCTCCATTCAGGGAGGGACAGTTAGTCCCCAGAGACCACTCTTGGAGTTTGAGCTCACAGCAGTTTTGAACAAATCAGTTCGCCCCTCTCAGGTCAGGTATTGTTTGCCTTCTTTCTCATGGAAAATGAGCATTGCCAGTTGCAGCGGCCCCAGAAATGTTTGCTTTTAATTATACAAGCTGAAATCCAACTAAATGAGGCCACAGTGGAAGGCTTTCTGCCCCGCATCCCCAGGAAGGAAGGCCCACAGTGAGGAGGGGGCCAGAGCATCGCAGCAGACAGCATCGCAGCAGACACTTGCCCATTCAGAACAATGGTAGCAGGTGCTGGGCAGCATTAGGAGGGGTCCCTGCAGTCAGGTCACCACTGGGACCTGCTCTAGGCCTCTGAGAGGGCGGTGTTTCCACCTTCCCTCTGCCCTGAGGTCCTGCAGATCTCCAAGCTGCCCATTTTCCCTGTTGTCTGCGATCTCTTCAGTACAAAGAGTGGAATCTGTGGTATTCATTTCCTTGTCAAAGTGGGAAAGTGTTTCCCTAGCTACAGAGGAGCTTTCAACAGAGTCTAAACACTCTTCCTCGAGGAACTGCTGGATTTTCTATGCACTAACTTTCTTCAGTGTGCTGTGACTTAGCGACTGTTTTCCTCCATAGTGCTGCTCCCTCTGCCCTTCAAAGAAAAGACGTTTTTTTCTGTTTCATTCTTTCCAAAGCACCTTTTCCTCTGTACCAAAAGTCTTTGGTATCTCTTCTTCTTATGTTGAAAATACCTTGCACTTCAGACACAAGACTCAGAGGAGTGCAGCTGGATCTGGCCTTAGAGCCTCCAACCTAAGGACAAGTTTTCACAGCGATGGAAGGCTCTTTGCAAACTTCCCAGGGAGACGAGCAATCGATAAGCACTTTTATTTAACTGGCCACACCAATAACTAGTATGGCAGGATATCCCTAAGGGTGCAACGTGTCTTGTCATGGACAGTGGCTGTCTAATTGGGCTCAAGTCTGCTCAAGAGTAAATTCATCGCGCCTGAAAGCGCAGGCTGCTACTCTTGGCTTGTTGAGTCATGAATCTAGAGGAGTTCCTGCTGCTACCGCTTTGCCAAAACCCCGTACTGCCTAACTGAGCATTGTACAGTGTACATTCCAGAACCCTGAAATACCGTGTTAGAGGAATTGAACATCTGTAAACCAATGGAAAGACTGTGAAAGACTTACCCTTAAAATGAATATCAAGTACCCCCTTAATATATAAATGCCTAATAGTTTTCATGCAGCAATAAAAAGGAAATAATACTATTATTGCTCTCATAAATTATGTGGCAATTTGAAAGAAAATGGCCTCCAATGGGAGTGGCACTACTAGGAAGTGTGGCCTTGTTGGAGGAAGTGTGTCTGTGTAGGGGCGGGTTTTGGGGGGGGTCTCTTGCTCAAGCTTCCCTCAGTGGGAGTCAGTTGACTTTCTACTGCTGATGCACATGTGTCAGATATTCAAAGCATATTCTAGGAATATTGCCAACACATCCGTACCTGTCTGAGAAAAAGTATAAAAGGGAAATGAAAGTAAGATCAAAGCAATACCTAGTGTATTTTAAATAGTCAAAAAACATTGCTATTTCTATAATTGCTGGTTATTAAATTATCCAGGTATACATTTTCTCTGTGAATTCTTTATTTGTGAGCCCCTTTGCTTCTTCCATCTCATGTTCCTTGGTTCACTGCCCTTTGCTTCTCTCTGGGACTCTGTAGAAATTCAGACGCCCATACCTCAGCGGGACTTCTCCATCAGAATCGCGTTTTCATTGCATTTCACATTCACGATTGTGCATATGAAGCACTGGTCAGTACCTTCTCCTTCGCCATGACTTTTGTGGTGTATACGACAAGCATGTGACACCAAATGCATGTTTTTCTGAGTTGTACTCATTTTACATTTCATCTGCCTTAAAAGGATAGACTCCACGTGGTGGGCTCATAACATCTTCTCTGTCTTCTCTTTCCTTGAAGATGGGTCCTATGCGAGGTCATGTGACCACTTCCCGAAGGTCCACAGAACATGTCTCACCTCTGTTAGAAGTGCTTCTAGCTCCCTTTCAACCTTAGGCAAAATCTAGATTTGAGTCCACAAGTAAATATTGCCTGTGTTAGGGTCTCTATTGCCTGATAAAGATCTTGACCAAAAGCAACTGGGAGAAGAAAGGGTTTATTTCTGTAGGGAGCCACCTGGAGAGATCACCATTATAAGATGGCGCAGGTTGTCCTGCAGCTTGGAGGTAAACAAATCCTTCTTTGGAATTACCGCATGGGGCTGAGTGCCCTTTGCTTGTACATGCACAATTGAGCCTTGTCCCTGGCCAATCTCGAGGCCCCGGACACAAGCAGAATGGTATTCACAATACCAATCAGGACAGTACCCGAGTCCCTCCACCCTATAGAAGCAGCTGCCGCTTGGCTTCCGCTCTCTCGCTTGCTCTCGCTCTCTCTCCTCTTTCTCTCTCTCTCTCTCTCTCTCTCTCTCTCTTGCTTTCTCTCTTTCTCTTTCTCTCTCTCTCTCTCTCGCTTTCTCTCTCTTCTTGTTCTCTTTCACTCCTGCTCTCTCGCTTCTGCTCTCCCTTCAACCAAGAGGCTCCAATAAAGTGTGATTTGAGAAGGATCTTCGACTTCATGGTCGTTCTTCCTTGCTGGTCAAGGGGCGCGCCACATATTTCACAGTCCATCACTAAGGGAAATCTAAGCAGGAACCTGGAGGCATGAACTGGAGCAGAGACCTCTGCTCCTGGTTTGCTCCCCTTGCTTTGCTGAGTCCACTTTCTTATACCTTCTAGGACCACCTGTCCAGGCTGACATTACCCAAAGTGGGGTGGGTTGTTTCATACCAATCACCAATTGAAAATTAAATTATAAGGAGTTGTTTTCTCAACTATGCTACTCTCTTCTCAAATATCCAGTGTCAGATTGAAAGGAGAACTATCCAGCCCAACGCATCTTAGTACTTATATTATTAGTGGTTTTAATTTATTCAATGTGCGATATCATTCATTGTTCTATATATTTCAGGAAATGCTGTCATTCTGGGATGTGGCCATTGAGTTCTCTCCCCAAGAGAGGGAATGCCTGGAACCCACTCAGTGGATCTGTACAAGGATGTGATGCTGGAGAATTACAGCAACCTGGTGTTCCTGGGTGAGCATCTCATCTATAGTGACTTCTTATTTCACCCTCAGCATGTATCTCCCCTGTTTTGTGTGGTATCTCTTGGAAATTTGTGATTTTCAACAGAGAATTTCATATTCTTCATTTTAAGAAAGATGAGGGATGTTGTAGTATCGCTAGGAAACATTTCATTGTTTTTCCCTGTCTATGTTTAACCTCTTGGTGATGGAAGCCATGCGTCCTTCACTCTACTGAGACTGGGACAAATCCAGCGGCAGGAGGTGTGGAGCGTTCAAGTTAATGAAGATGTTTCACAGTTCAGTTTTAATTTCATTCCCTTTAAATGAAGCTTAGAATCTGCAGATTGTAAATTCCTCATCAACATTCTAATATACCTATCAGAAAACATTTCAGGAACTAATTTCCTGCAGTCATTTATTACACCATTTCTTTTCTCATAAGCAGTGTCCTGGAAAGAAGAACACCCAAACATCTTGTTCCTCTTTCCTACAAACGGGCCTTGCTGTCTCTAAGCCATACCTGGTGACATTTCTGAAGCAAAGACAAGGACCTTGGGATGTGAAGGAACAAGCACCAGCCCCTGTGCATCCAGGTGTGTAGGAAAGAGAGCCTGGGGTGGGGGGTGAGTTGAAGTCCAAAGATCCAGCAGAAAGGCAGGCTTTCCCACATCCTTATCCTTTGACGAGGCTCTCATCCTACTTAGACTGGTAGGGAATGTGTCAGCTTGGAAGGTAAGTGTGCTGTTTGATTCTGGGTGTGTCCTGCATGCGGGTGTAATTTAGATTTAACCCATTATACTCCCAACATTCAATTTCAATAACTAGTGTTTTGGTTTTGGTTTTTTGGTTTTTCGAGACAGGGTTTCACTGTAGCTTTGGAACCTGTCCTGGAACTAGCTCTCGTAGACCAGGCTGGCCTCAAACTCACAGAAATCCACCTGCCTCTGCCTCCTGAGTGCTGGGATTAAATGTCAATAACCACATTTTTAAAAGTATACTTCATATTTAGATATTATTGCAAATTAAACAAACTAAGTTAACCTTTATTTGAGATAACTGCTTTAGGCTGCACTCCAATAACCCGCACAGAGGACTGTGGAATGGAAGGCAGGATCCAGTGTCACCCTCTAATATTGTCTGGGAACATGAATTACATTTGTATTTAGCAGGACTACAAACACAATTTGGGGCACAATAAGGATTTTAATCATGAATAGGGGGTGGCTCATAAATAACTATTATGTCTTAGTTACCTTTTGTAACAGCTTTCAATAAATTAGTAACTGTCATAAGATTGGAATTTTATAAATGAAAATAAGTTACCTTATTAAAATTTTGAGCCTTAAAAAGTCACAATTTAAAAAAAAACGAACAAATAAAAGCAAAACACAGCCGGGCAGTGGTGACACAGGCCTTTAATCCCAGTACTCAGGAGGCAGGTGGATCTCTGTGAGTTTGAGGCCAGCGTGGTCTACAGAGCAAGTTCTGTGACAGGCAGGGCTACACAGAGAAACCCTGTCTCAAAAAAGAATTTTTACGGAAGTTCTTTTATGCAAAATAAACCTTAAACCGTAAATACAGTCCACGGAGAGATTGGGAGCTTTAGTTTCCTAATTCCTTTGTAGTGAACCTTTACAAATTCTAAGTCAGTCCTACGGATACTCTACATTCGCATCTTGCATTATCATAAAGAATGTATTTGTCGGCAGTGGTGGTACACGCCTTTGATTCCAGCAAATAAGGCAGAGGCAAACAGATCTTGGAGTTCCAGGCCAGCCTAGTCTACAGAGTGAGTTACATGTTAGCCAAGAATACAGAAAAAACAAACAAACAAATTAACAGACAAAAATAAAACCAAAATAGAATACACCCATAGGAAAGAATAATAAAGTTTAACCTTTATAAGAAGACACCTGAAAGAATAAAAAGACAATTCATTTCCACCACAGTTCTTGTTGTGACTCAGTTTCTCCAAATGGTTTATGTTTAACAAAGTTATCAAAAGTGACTAGATACCTTTATGCCAGGTTTTGTTAGCAATGATAGAGCATTATAACCCTAGGACTTTAGCATTTTTTGAGCATTAGGTATGTTACTTTGAAGTCTCATCTTCCATAGACCATTACAACCCTAGGACTTTAGCATCTTTTGAGCATTAGCTATGTTACCTTGGAGTCTCATCTTCCATTGGTCCCATATATAGTGTATTCAGACCTGCTGTGACTTCTCTCGAAGCTTTTGTGGTTTTAGCCTCTTCTTATATGATTTATCTCATCTAAAACAATTTAACCCTTTTTAATGATGTAACTTCGTATTTATGTCTTTTGTAACTTTTTCAAATGGTTTCACTGGTCCTGAGAGAGAAGAATTATATCCTAGTAAGAGCTTTAGTGATATGAATAACCTTGATTGAGAAAGCATTTTTTTTGTAAACAAGACTCCTGAGAGGGGAAGCATAGAACATGAGTTCAGTTGGTAACTGATTGTAAAGTGTCAATTGAGATAATTTACTCTCTTTGGAACAGCCATTTGAACCTTTATATATCGCTCCCTTGATTAAGTAATTGCAAATGAGACATAATAATCCTAACAAGTAAATTTGTTGGTGGTGTTGTTTTTTTTTCTTCCCAAGACAAGGTTTCTCTGTAGCTTTGGAGCCCGTCCTGGGACTAGCTCTGTAGATCAGGTTGGCCTCGAACTCACAGAGATCCGCCTGCCTCTGCCTCCCCAGTGCTGGGAATAAAGGCGTGCTCCACCACCACCTGGCCTAACAAGTAAATTTACCACTTGATGTAAGAAGAAGATGTCCCAGAGGGGAGGGTGTTAGACAATATCTATTTTCAGGGGGGCCGTTACCCATTACATATGACAGCTTTCCCACAGAGAAGTGGACTCCCAACCCAGCTTTAGTTTTTCTTGCCTATACACCCTGGTGTCTCCAGAAAACCTTGGAACCTCATGCAATTGAATCCCAGTTCCATGCAGCTAGCTGGGAGGCCGGGTGGATCCTCAGATGAGGGCTCAATGACCCTGCCTGTCTCCTCTGTTTTCAAAGGGATAGCATTTAACAAGCCCGGCTGTGGTTGCCGTCAGCGGGCACAGCTAGAATTATGAAGATGGTGTTCAGCTTAGAGGATACTGTGCAACATCCATTAAATAAAAGAAGGTTGAATCCGAACTGCACAGCAAGGGTCATGTGACGCATTGATATTACCTGTGCACATACTGTTAAAGCGTTATGCCATGGAAGTTTCCAGGTCAACCTTATAGTAAACAAAAGGCAGTCTTTATTACTTAGATAATAAATAGACTTTTCATAATCATCTTTAAATTGATATTGACATCATCTAACAGAATTTATCTGACTATGATTTTGGAGTTACTATTGATTGATTTTAGGCAGAGTGTCCCTTTTACTCTTTTTAACGACAAGGATCCCATTAGTTGCTTTTATTCTACGCATCTTCTTCCTATAAGGTAAATAGTAGTAGCCTTTCTTGGAAGGAGTTCACCCCTTAACTCTTCTCAAGTGCATGCGGTCTTTTCTTGAGCTGTCCTGTTATCCTCTTTCTGCCTGTCACAGGGTCAGGGAGCCAACATGACCCAGGACAGGGCATTGGAAGAAACTCTGAGACAATTATCCTTGAGTTTGAAGTGGGTGGTGCACATTTTATCTTTGGACCAGGTTTTCAGTGAACAAAAACAGCATACGAAGATTTCAAAATATATTATCTATATTCAAAGGCATTTGTTTCTCTATAAGACTGAAGCCAGTGATTCGTATGCCCATAAAAGTACTGTGTGTCTGGAGGTCTGGGCAGCCAACCTGAATAGTACTTTATGTATTTTCTCTTTTACATTTTTAGGCTAATACAATGATCTTATGAGATAGGGACACATTGACTTGGGGGAGGGTGTCAAACCCTGAGTTATACATTAGTACCTGTAACCTAGAGACATATAAACAGAAACCATAAAAACAGACTTCTAAGCAACTCAGAAAGTTCTAGAAATGAAAGTATGGGTACCCATGAAGCAGAGACAAGGTCTGACCTCTGCTATAGGGCAAAGGAATCCTAAGAACAGAGAGAATGTCCTGTCTCAGAGGACGCAGGATTCCAGACCCAGTAGAAAAGACCCATCATAACTTCTGTCTCCAGTCTCCCTCGCAAACAGGCAGCTAAGGTGCTCTCCCCACAGGAAAACTGGCTGCCACTCTTCGTCCACGGTGAGCTAGAGTCCTGGACCCACACCTGGCTAGACCCCTTTGATTTCTGGGGCCTCTGCTCTACAGTTCCCCACACTGTAGGAACTGGTCTAGTGGTTCCCACAGCCACCTTTTGTTCTGCAGTAAAACGGACCCTGCCCTGATTGAGGCTGTATAATTCATAGACGGTTAGCTCTCCTCTAGCCAGGCAGGATCTTCCTGAGCACGGGGGCTGGGAGTTGACTAGGTTTGCTCTCCTGACAAGACCACAATGGGGACCTCTGTGCCGCTGCTGAGCTGGTTGAAGAGGATCAGACATGGAGTTTTCCAGACAACTCCACTAGTACAATTCCAGACAGGAGTTGGCATTTCTCACGGACCATAGACAAGAGGGCAGAAGAACCTTGCTGCTTCCCGTCACCTGGAAGCCAAAGTGAACTCAGACAGTGACCCCCTCTCTGTTCCACGATGAGAGTCAGGGCAAGGTGCAAATACTAAGGCTGAGACAGCAGCGGAGACAGCATGCATTAAATGGATTTTTCGCTTGTTCATTCATCATCATCAGAAATAACATAAGACAAGGTTTAACCGAAAAATGTTATCCATTGCTTCTTCTGTCGATATCTTTACTCATAGGAGACACATAGAAGGAGACCCTGTCATTATTTTTCCACTGACTGGAATCTGGACCAGAGAAAAATACCCTTACCTAGCTTCTCGGAAGACCAGACTGAGTCGGTTGGTTTTGGTAGCAGGGCATAGAGTGGAAATTCCCTACTCTCTGGTCCCCGGTGAGACATCTATGGGGCCAAGGAAGGTCTGGGGTGGGCACTACCACTGTAACAGTGAAGCAAGCTGAGAGAGCCAGGGTGTTCTGAGTCTCTTGATTGTCAGAAATTTTGCTGGTACCTCCATCGGTTGTATCCACAGGAGACATAGTCAATGCCTCTCAGCGAAGTTCAGATAAATAGTCTTTTTTTTACTGTTTTGGAGATGAGGCACGTGCCCAGAAGAACTCTAGCCACTCAGTATGAGGCATGATTGGGTCATAATGGCCAACCCATAATTACATCATATCAGAGACTGCTACACCCTGAAACTTCAAAAGTTTAATTTCCATCAATTCAAAGAATGTGTTTTATGTTGTGAAAGGATGGGTTTTGCCAAAGCTTCAGGTGAAGCTGCATGAGGGCATTTTCTCAGTAGGATTGACTAGCTGGGGGAGTAGTCAGGTAAAACTCATGCAAAACAGAGTCACCTTAGGCAGTTACTGACTTTTAACTGTTTTCTATACCTCTGAAAGTGTTCACACATTTCTAAAAATCTAGATGTGAAATCATTATAAGATAGCTTCATACATAAGTCTGCTTAATACAACCTACACTAATTTAAGGAAATTTATCTCATCAGAGTTCTTTATAAATGATGAAAATGTCTTCATAAATTCTTTGTGTCACACTCACAGTACTAAGGATTTAATATGCCTGACCATTGTAGATATAAACATATATGTAAATATATTTATAATTTTATATATAGTCAATAACTGTATATTCAATATATATATATGTTCAAAGATAAAAATGTCAAGATCTAGTAGAATATATTTTTTGCAATTTGATATTCTGCATTATTATTTGGAAGTGTGTATTGTCTGTAATCGTTCGACATACATATTCTATCTGTGAGTGCATTGCTCATTGATTAAAACAGATCAAGACAGTGCAAGATGAAAATATCTATGATATTTTACTTCATAGATAAAAATATCTATAAAGTATAAAAATATCTATGAAGTACTATTTCTGTGAAGTATTAATTCATGGTAAATACAAGACTCTGATTTTTGTGCCTTATTCATTGTTTTTCTTTATTCGTTGCTCAATGATTTTTTAATCTTATAAATGAATAATTCTTAAAAATAGGTAAATGTATCACTGAGGGTGGTGGTACATGCCTTAATCACATCATTTGTGAGGCAAAGGAAAAAAGATCCCTGAGTCTGAGGCTAGCTTGATCACATGAGCCAGATCCAGGACACTCATGGCTATGTGGAGAAATTCTGTCATTAAAAGCACAAAGCAAAACAAAATTGATAAATATATCATCTATTCATTGACAACTATGTTGCCTTCAGTAAAACTTCTGTTATTTATAAGTGTACCTGAAATTTTTTTATAATTAGACATCTTTGAGTTATATATTTCTTGTGATCAAAATAAAACATAAAATATCATCCTAAAGCCTTGAGATATGTTATTTAATAATGACATTGACAGTTTAATTGTCATGGAGCATATAAAAATATAAGTCTATACATGGGTAAAAATTGTGTATTTTCATGTTGGTCCAATCTCACATTATCACAATTAACTTTCTATTGGCTATGTTAAAATTTCATGGATTTCCAGCCATACGTTTATATTGTTCAATGGGCTAATTTCTGTTAGTAAAATCCCCTTAAAACTTGCATAGCTATTTAATGTCGAATTATATGTTATTATTTTTGTTCATTTGCTTATAATCTTATTCTAGTAGAAGTGTAGATTGTTTGTGAATACTGCCATATTTTGTGAATTATGCTTAGGGACTATAGATGTTAAATATACTGTAGTTTCTGAGTTATGGTAAATATGGATGGGTAAATCTCTCCATTTTAAAAGTAATCATAAATACAGAGAATATTGTTTAAATTTTGATCAACTCTTGCTCTATAGGAACAATACACAGTGGTTGTAACAATTATAGCAAAGCTACTGATTATAACTCACTCCTTATTCAACACCAGAAAATTCATACAGGGAAAAAACCCTACAAGTGTGAAGAATGTGGTAAGGTTCTTAGTTCTCGCTCAACACTTTCTGTACACCAGAGACTTTATACTGGAGACAAACCCTACACGTGTGAAGAATGTCACAAGGCTTTAAACACTCACTCATCACTTTTTATACACCAGAAAAATCATACTGATGAAAAAAACCTACAAGTGTGGAGAATGTGGTAAGGCCCTTAGTTCTTATAAAACACTTTCTATACACAAGAGACTTCACACTGGAGAAAAACCCTTCACCTGTAAAGAATGTCACAAGGCCTTCAAAACTTGCTCATCACTTTTTATATACCAGAAAAATCATACTGATGAAAAATCCTACAAGTGTGGAGAATGTGGCAGATTCTACTATCCTTCAATGCTGAAACAGCATCAAAGGATTCATTCTAGAGAGAAAACCTACAAGTGTGAAGAATGTGGAAAAACATTTTCCTCTGCCTTAATCCTTAACCAACATAAAGGAATTCATTCTGGAGAAAATCCCTATAAGTGTAAAGACTGTGGAAAAAGATTTTACTGTTCTCCATACCTTCATCAAACATCAAAAAAAAATCATATTGGAGAGAAACCATACAACTGTAATGAATGCCACAAAGCCTTTTGTAATCCCACAGGCTTTAGGAAACACACAATAGTTCATACTGGAGAGAAACCCTACAAGTGTGAGGGGTGTTGCAAATGTTTTTCTTCTTCTTCAGCCCTTAGAAGACATCAAAGAATTCACTCTGAAGACAGTCCCTACAAGTATGCAGAATGTGGCAGAGTCTTTGTTAATCATTATACCCTTTCTCGACACAAGACGGTTCATACTAGAGAGAAATCTACAAATGTAATAAAAAGTTTACATTTTTTAAGCCCTTCAAAGGCATCAAGTAATTCATTCTGAATAGGCGTTCCACGGGCATGTGAAGTGTGGTAAAACCCATGCTGAAGATCCAGACCTTATGCAGCAACAATGAATGCGTAGAGCCGGGAAGCCATGCACATGTGAGGGATAGCAAGTGCTTTACCACTTAGTCAACACGATCTATCATCAGTAGCGTCCATTCTGCAGTGAGACAAAGCACTGCAGGCTGTGGTGAAGGTGTCAGCTGTCATTCAGTCCTGGTTCAACCTCAGTAATTCTCACCGGAGAGAAACCATACTCGTGTGCAGAAAAGGACCAGTGCTTATCTGTTCCTTGTGTCTATATAAACTTTGGAGAATTCATTGTGATGAGGCAGTCAACAAAAGAATCACTGTGGCAAGTTCTTCACACTGTAAGTATCTGCAGATACTTCCTATTGCAAAGACGCTCTATACATTCAAGTTGTGCCTAAGCCTTGAATAATAATTGAAGTCTTCATCAGCAACAAAGTTTTGCCAAAAATGAGAAACTCTGCAGGTGCAGATGTCTCTCTTATCTAGCTGCAGACAAGCACACCACACAAGCCAGCAGTATCTGAAGGGCTCCCAGCTAGTTATTTGCTTCTATTTGATTAGCTTATAAGCTTGTGTTCTGTTTTCTTGATTTCTACATGGGGTACTAGAAGTTAGCCAGGATAACCAGCACCACCCTGTACAGGAATTCCTTGGATGCATAAAAGTTGCAGTGAAGACAAACTAGAATGAGCAAGTCCGAAAGCAGTATTTCCCCATGTTTCCCGCATGGCTTCCTGTCCTGACATCCTGGATGAGGAACAGTAGCTTATAACTTGAAATAAACTGGCTATTTCATCTTGTTGGTTTTATCCCAGCCATTTATTATCAAACCGACAGAAATCAATCTAGGACAGCAACAAATATGGGAGGCTTTTCAGCCTCCTTCGTAGCTCTGCTGTTCCCATCCAGTGGGATGTTCCCATCCAGTGGCGTGCTAGACACAGTGTCACAAAACCTGTAGATGCATCCACTCTCTCTCCCACACCTGAGCATTCACCCTGCAGAGAAGTCCTAGTGATGTAAAGAATACCACGAAGAATTTTACAATATTTCCCTAACTTAACACCAATTTCTTTCTATTGAAGGACCCCAACTCATTTTAGCCACAGTTATGTCATTTTGCAAAGAAGCTCAGTTCAGAGAAGGGCCCCCGGAATGCTGAGCAAAGCAGGATACCTGAGGTCAGAACGAGGACAGCCTTGTCAGGCTGCAGGACAGGGGATTTATGGTCAGACATCTGGTGAGATACCCAGGACAGCCTTATCAGGATGCAGGACAGGGGATTTATGGTCAAGACATTCTGGCCTGAGTGGAAACAAAGACTTCAAAAGACGACCATATGTGCTTGAGATAGGGTCTGGTCAGTTATCTGGTTTCTTTGATCCAGGTCAAGGACCACGAGGCCTGCCCTCAAATTCACCCCTCGCCTCATTCAAACTGGCCAATGGGACCCCTGTAACCGCGCTTTTGCTTCTGTAACATTGCTTCTGCCTATATAAAGATACCCTAAGACGTAGCTCGGGGTGCTCAGTTCTCCATGTGACTGCAGCACCCACAGGCCTGTGAACAATAAAGTTTGCCTCTTGTTCTTGCATCCAGTGGCTCTCGGACCTGGTTCTTGGGTACAGGTCTCCATGCGTGTGAGACACCCTCCGGGTGCTCTTTTACTATACTGGAGAGAAACCTGTGAAATCAAAAATGGTAGCTACGTGTTGAGTAATTGCTCCAAACTCAACATGAGAAATTTAGGCATGTAGGAAAATTAACATACTCAGTTGATAAGAGAATTGATATTTCCTCATACCTCAGTATCAGAGAGTTTATTTGGTTAAGAAGTCCTATGAACAACCCTCGATACCCACGGGTAAATTCATGTTGTAGTGAATCCTTCTACCTGTAATGACTCTGGAAGAATCATTTCTCACTGTTTGCACCTCATAGGAGTAGCACATAGAAATAGTGTAGTAATGTCTTCATTGTGAGTTGGTAATGGATCTGTCTGTGAGACCCTCGTCTCTTATTCTCAAAGGAACAAGAAGTTGTTTCCCAAAGAAGTGTTTTAAAATTAGAAACCCAGACTAGCTTAGATTAGCTGCATTTTCCCAAGAAGATAATGGCCTTCTATCCCCCCCACACCCAACCTGGGAAATTCCTGAGCTTAAGGACACTCAGTCATTCTGGTGGTAAAACACTCAGCCACCTAGAGAGTAGAAGTCTGGCTCTAAGAACAAAGGGTAGGGAAAGAAGACCGTGCACCCCACCGAAAACAGTAGCTCTGAAGGACTTGCTTGAAGTTTTACCTTTAAAAGATTAACGCCTCAGAAGGAAGGGAGCTCCTCCACCCTCTATGCAATTGCAAATTGAGTTACGCTAATTAACACCAATAAACCATGCTATTACAGTCTGGGCCTCTTTGGTGGTCTCTTGGGGTCGTAATCTGGGTACAACACTATTGAAATATAGTTGTAGGCAGATTTTTCCGTACTGCCAGCTAACTGCCAAATAATCATGCTGAGACTTCTTATTAATTAGGAAATCTTGGCTGATAGCTTAGGCTTGTCCTATAAATTAACCCATTTCTATTCATCCACATGTTGCCTCATGACTTACGGCATTTACCTGTCCTCCTGCGTACTTGGCTTTTCTCTGTCTGGTTGGAGACTTCACATCTCCTCCCTTTTTCCCTTCTAAAGTAAAAAAAGCTTCTCAGCTTCAGGCTGAGTCCCATCCTTGTCAATAACAAAGACAGGCTGGTGTGTAGACCGGTCCTGTTTGTGGTCAGTAAGGTTTGCTCTGCTTAGTTGAGTCTGTGTTTTCTTCCTCCTTGGAGTCTCTCTACATCTGTTTAGCATAGTATTCCTGGTATAGAAAGGTGTGTTTCCTTACAAATAGAAATGTATTTTATGGATAAACATTTTTTTCTACAAGGAACGATTTTTTCAAGGTACAGCTTGTTTAGGAAGCATCACTTGTGAGCAGCTCCAAGTGAATACCATAGCAGAAAGACACACCCTCAGGAGTAAACACTGTAGCAGAGACACACACATGCTCAAGCGACATTTCTCATTCCTCTTTTTTTAAATTTTACATCCCATTCCTTAAAAAGTTTCAAAGAAACATATCATGTCAAAATTAACAAAAACCAAAAACTATATAACTCTTGAACTTCTTTCTGTACCGTTAGGGTGGACATTTAGAACAGAAGCTTAGGAGTTCACACTGGGTTTCACGCTCTCTTTGGGATATTTATTTATGCACTTACACACCACCGACAACCAAAACCCATGGCAGAGTTAGAAGCAGAAGAACAGTGATCTCATATCCTCTTTCACAACTCATGTTCAATACCTGCTGTCAATCCTTCCTCTTCTCCTATATTTAGCCTATATTCTCTTTTCTACATGACATATTGTACTCATATGTAAATTTGTCCACTTATGTACACTTACCATAGCCTAGGTTACACATACAAGGGAGATAATATAGTTTTTCTGAGATCGTGTGACATCAATTGATATATATTCCAAGGCCATCGATGTTCATGAAAATTTTGTGACTATATTATTAGTGCTGAAGAGCATTTGTAGGTACATACACATACAATTACATACATTTATATGTAATAAAGTATCTATTAATGGGTTGATGAACATCTATGTTGACACAGTTTCTTTACTGAGTAAAGAAGCAATAAACACGGGGCACAAATATCTCTATAGTAGGCATGAGGTTCCCTGAGCAAAAGCCCAGGACTGAAGTACTGTGGGCAGTGCAGAGACGAGAGCCCTGGTTCCAGTGGTGTGAGGTCATTACAGCTGTGAGGTGCTGCCTTGGGAGGTTCCAGCGGTCTTGCAGCACCCGCAGTCTATGCTCTCACCACAGCCTAGAGATAGTAGACTGCACTGCATCTGGAGCTTGGTACCTGCCTCCAGCAGGCTCCTAGGGTCCAAGGGGTGACCAAGGATTTGAGTCCATGTTGTCACCTGTTGGAGACCAGCTTCAACAAGGATCCCACTAGGAGCATGGTGATTAGAAAAATAAGTAAAGAGAATAAGATGGAGTGAAAATAAAGCAGAAACCTAACCAGGAGGGAGTTCCAGTGAATACTGAAATGCCCACGTTTATTTTCAACACACTTTTTTACCCCAATACCAAAGGGGGAAGAAGACAAAAACTGCTTTAATATGATACAGAAGACAACTAGAAGCTACTTGCTTCAGTTCTTTGAGACATCAAGCCATTAATTCATGAGAAAAGCATTCTGTTGTTTAGGCAGTGAACCCACCCTAGACTAAGAATCCTGAAGGCAGTCACTCCCGAGGCCAAACCAATTAATCCAAAAGAATGAACAGAGTAGTGGTGGTGGTGCACGTCTTTAATCCCAGCACTTGGGAGGGAGGCAGAGACAGGTGGTTCTCTGTGAGTTCGAGGCCAGCCTGGTCTACAAGAGCTCATTCCAGGACAGGCTCCAAAGCTATAGAGAAACCCTGTCTTGAAAAAAAAAAGCAAAAAAAACCCAAACAAACAAACAATAGAAGGAGCAGAAGTATACTTGACTCCTCTGACCTTTGGTAAGGGTGGAGTGGACTACCTGCGCACTGTCTCGACGTCAAACACCAAGTAACCACGCCCTCTATCAGGGCGTGTAGGCACACTTGTCAACATCTGTGAACAAGTTAAAACCCTCTGGCCTCTGACAAGGTGGAAATAGGCT